AAGTCATTCTTATTTAGAAAGTGGACCAAATGTACAGGCTGAAAGAAACATACAAGACGAACTGGTTAAACAATTTGGGTCTAAATTAAAACGTAGCAGAAGTTTTCCAAACTGTTTATTTTTAGATACAGTTATCTGGAGATTTTTAGTTCGAGAATGTAAAAATGAAGTTGATGGTTTGGATTCAGATTTAGATTCAGATTCTGACTTTGAAAGGTGTACAAATAGTGAGATCATACAGCAATATGTACAACCAGAAGAAAAAACCAACTATACATCTGGACATTTTAATAATTTAAATATGTTCCGTTCTTGTAATGATCTACAATCATTCCAAATACCTCCCAACATAAGTGATTTGGAAAATTCGGAAGGTGATCCACAGCATCACCGAGATTCTGATAGAAGTGAATGCCGTTCCCTTGAAAATAGTGTGCCTATACAGCAATGTGAACAACCAAATGAAATAACCGACAATATGTTTGGAAACTTAGATAATTTAAATATTTTGCTTTCTTCTAATAATCTACAATCATTGCAAATACCTCCCAACATAAGTGATTTGGAAAATTCTGAATGTGATCCACAGCATTACCGAGATTCTGATAGTTTTGAATGCTGTTCCCTTGAAAATAGTGTGCCTATACAGCAATGTGAACAACCAAATGAAATAACCAACAATATGTTTGGAAGCTTAGATAATTTAAATGTGTTTCTTTCTTCAAATAATCTACAATCATTCCAAATACCCCCAAACATGAGCAATATGAAAATTTCTGAAAGTGATCAAGAGGAATCCGATGGCAAGATTAGACGATCCAAGCAATTAAGTACAAAAGTTAAGGATACTGATATGATAGAGGAAGAATATTTTTTGTCATCTGAAAATTCAAAAATTGACTTTTTACGGTTAGCTGAAGAAATTCAAAGAGACAATGAAATACATTTAGCAGAAGCTACAGCAAATGACCCAGAGTTGGATAAAACATTGAACTCCAAACTAATAACTAACAATTTGTCAGGACCTGTTAGACCTCATAGGTAAGCATTTTATAGTCTGCAAAACATTAATGCTCAAATAGTATTTTATTCTTTGAAGGGGTCCGTGAAAAAATCAGACAACTCCATTTTTCAAAAATTTTCATGAAACAAAAAACCCTCCGGGCTGTCTGGTTTTTTCAACGGAAAAGAAACCAGACAGCTCCTAGTTATATTTTATATCCCATATTGGTGGCCAGTCTCATTCTTGCACAATTTTACTCATAACATTTTCCTGAATTAGAAGGCCAAAAACCGATTTTCTTTTAAAATAGAGTTATCTCAATTTTTCATGGATCCCTTCATTTTGTATTTATAATTTTCAATTAATTACAAAAACTTCATCAAATATATATATTACTTCCATTAATAGTACTTAAATGTAATTTTAGGAAAAAATTGTGTGCGTATACACCAGCGGAAGCACAAGAATTACGGAGACTAAAACCAAGGTAATTAATATATTATTTTTAAATATTATTTGAAAATCCTATACAGCTGGCATTTTTTGTTATATATTCATATTAACACATTCTGTGGGTTATGAACTGGTTTAATTGTTGTGTTTTATTTTTAAAAGACTTCAAATTACCATTGTTGTGTAACAATTTCTCAGTACAGTCTTGAATAATAACGTTTTTTTTTTTTTAGGAAAACTAAAAAAGACTGGATTGGAAGAAAGCCTGGGTGTGCTACACAGTGTTTAAATCGTTTATTGAATATTGAATGGTAAATCAAATCATTATAGTTTTTAATAAGTTAATATATTAATAAGAAACATTATTTTATTTTTAAGTGGAAAAATTTGTGCTTTGAAGTCATTATATACAAACAAGCTGATGAAGAAAACATTTCGAATGGATGCTTCACCTGGAAACAGTAAAATTAATCAAATTAATGAACATGCAAACGACATTAGAAAACCCAACAATAAAACTGATCCTAATTTAAACTATGAAAGTCATTGTGTTGTAGTACGCAAATGTGATAACGATTCGGGACAAGTTAAAAGAAAAAGGGGTCGACCCAAAAAAATAACTAATATTACCGATAATACAGCAATCATTTCAAATATTGGTAATCCAATTCAGACTAATTCAGTTGCTGATATAGTACCTAAAAATACTGATGAACCAAAAGTTATCAAGAGAGGTCTTGGCAAACCGAGGAAAAATAAAATCACATCAACTTCTATTCAAATATCACCAATTGTGTCGAATTCAACACCAGTGAATAAACAAAAAATAACAAAACATGGTGCCACCGTTAAAAAGAAGCAGAATTTGCACAAACGAGGTCCACAACACCCCTCAAAGTCACCTGCTAGTAAAGTAATAAAAACTACGACTAAACAATTAAATCAACAATTCCTAAGTTCTGATACAGTAGAAGTAAATGAAAACAGTCCTGAATCTGGAGAGAGATCATTTTCAACAATCATGTTATTTCCAGCCGATGGTAATGATTTTAAGTGTTTAACTATATCACGATTTGCTGATACCGAAAAAATACAACGGATTACTTTGGCAAGATGTGATACATTAATAGAACAAGAAAACACTACATCCATTAACTTTTTAGATGATAATGATAAGTCAAATAGTCAAGTAAACGATACATCTATTAATTATTTAGAAGGACATAATAAGTGAAGTAACCAAGAAAACATTACATCCATTAGTTTTTTTGAAGATAATAATAAATCAATTGTTCAAGAAAACATTACAACTATTCATTTTTTAGAAGGACATTATAAGTTAAATATACAAGTACACACTACAAGCATTAATTTTTTAGAAGGATGTAATATGTGTTAAATGAACAAGTAAACACTACATCTATTCATTTTTTAGATGATAATGATTTTTTGATTGTTAATACATATACTTAGACTCATTATACTTGTGTACATTGTAAATAATAATTTTTTTTTCTTTTTAATTTTTTTAAAGATTGTGATGTGCATTACTGAATTATTATAATTATTGTGTATTATTTTTTTTCAATTTTCAATTTATTTCAATTTTCATTTCACAAATATACAAAGAAAAAAATTATAACAAAAGGAAAGTTTTGAAATGATGATGACTCCAAAAAGTAAAGCTTGTAAAAGAGACACAGAGTTCTATACTTAAATACATAATTATCAAAATTATAACTAAAACCTTTTTAAATATAAGAGTGTACAGTATATAAGTATAAAGCTAAAATGAGATAACGAAAAGAACATAGCATAACAAAGAACATAACATAACAAGTCAAAAAAAAACAAACTATTATACAATTAAAGAATTACTAATTTTAAATACATAATATAGTATCCTATATATATCTTAATTTTACAATAGAGATTTAACTTCAGCATTAATATATTTTTTATAGTTATTAAAACTGTTATAGTTGTTGATGTTAATACCTAATCTATTACTAATTTCGATGCTAATATAAAAAGGGTCTCTTTTATCAAATTCTGTATTACACTTTCTTAGTCTAAAAACATTATTTTCAACTTGACGAGTATGATAATTATGTGCAGGGCTCGTAAGTTCATGCATTTGCATGTTTTTTTTGCGACACAGAAAAATATGCTAACTGAGATACAAATTCCTTTTATAACAATAGTAATAATAATATGAAGTTTAATAGTGCATGTTTTGGGTGTAAAGGCATATTTGGCATATAATCGTTTTTTTAGAGTTTATAGCGCATATTATTTCATAAAAAAATTGTTTAGAAAAATATTTGAAATGTTTCTTGTTTCTTATTTACTTTCCCGTTTACTGAATGATAGTGTTTTGATTTATTTTTATTTTCATGTGACTACTTACTTTTCTAGTATTTCCCTATTTAGATTTTATGCGTTTTACTTAGTACCGCGGAAACAATTTTATAGCTACTACTACCATCCTCCGCCGTGTTTAGTCCCTCGTCGAAACGATACCTGTACAAGCATGTACATCTGTACAATGTTTCTTACCAATCCACATCTACAATTTTGTACACTGGTGTCTGGTACAGTATAGTTTTCTTGCACACGCCAGTCGCCGATGAGTTGTTTAACTGCAAGAGTCGTGAAAATGTCAAATAACTAATATTTCATTCCAAATATTTTCATTGTAGGTGCAGGATAATGGTGTACCAAAATTAGACAAAAAATGACTACATAATTAAAATTAATAAAGATGACAAATCCATATGATTATCAGATTATATGAACTTCACAAATATTCATTTTAATAATTTTGATTGTTAAATATATAAAAATTAAAAGGAATAATATACTTTTAAAATTAATGGATATATTCTTATTATTTTAAAATTTGCTCATAAATATTTTACATAATGCATATTTTGAGTGCATAATTTAAAAATATAAGGGCATTTAAATGCATATTTTCAAACTTTTTAGTGCATATTTTGCCAATTTTTAGTGCATGAATGTATGCTCAGTGGTGTTTTGGTAAAAAAACTAGAGGGTATAAGCGCATTTAAGAATTTATGAAATTATTTTAATAAATATAGATTTTGCTATATATGTGTATAACAAATGGTATTCTTTTAGAATACTAATAGGTATTTTAATAAAGGTGAGATAAAACTTGAAAAGTTTTATTATGTTGTTATTATTATGCACTTATTTATGACAAGGAATACTAAATAACAATACAAATTATGGCATAATAGTCAATAACTTATAAGTATTCCTTATATAAATTTTACACAGTTGCATAGTTGAATTGCACTATAGCATAGATTTTATAACATATAGATAAGCCAATACACATACCTATAAAATAACAATATTATACAATATATCAATATATATCAACATAAAAAAAATATATCCTTTGATATATTTAAATTGTAGTAAAGTAAATGATTCAAAACATTTAAAAAATGTAATAATAATTAAATTGTAATAATTTAAAATTTAAATAAATTGTATTTTTTTCTCACTATTTACAAAATATGTTAAATAAGCTGATCCTAAAACTATTCTCAAATATACAAAAAAAACTTTTATTGTTAACTCAATATTGAATAAATTGTCCACATATTTTTCTTTGATAAGTCTGCATAGGTATATTCAGTATCTGTGGTGGTTTTATTGGGAGAGTACATTGGTCTGAATTCCTAAAAGTCACCATGTTTAGGTTGTGAATAAGTTTTATCCTCGGTTTTAAAATTGAAAATTAAAAAAAAATTTTAATTATTGGCAATTTGAGTAAAAACAAACTAAAAATGATTTTTGAATTATAATTTTTAAATTGAGTAAATTAAAATCTGTTTGTTGAATAAATTAAATAAAATTAAATAAAACAGGTACTGCCATGTAAAGTAAAGTACCAACAGCCCATGTACAGTCAAGTAAAAAAAATGTGTTTTGTATTTGTAAAGTTAATTAATATTAATTAACTAAATTAACAAAAAAAATTAATAATTTGTATATATTACTACAGTAGGTAGTACAGTAGGTAATATTTTGACTTAAATAATTGAAATGTGAAGTGATATCTATTAAGTATTAACTCATTAATTTAAATTCTACTAAACGGTTTTAATTTACCAATTGTGTCAGCTAAGGGCTACTTGTCGTAGGTTTTGATGTGGATGCGATAGATGACACTAATCGAGCATCTACTTCTTTAGACGATACCTAAATAGAGCACAAGTAAACGAATTATAAAAATAAAGATTATTTAAAATGTACTACCTTATTAAATTTGTATAGTTACTTACCTCAACATTTTCGAAACAAATTTTTTTATTTGTATTTGTAGAAAAATAAGAAAATAAAGTGTTTTTTTTCTTTTGGGCGTGTAGAATCCATACTGTCAACACTTAACAATTCACTTCACAAGCCACAAAAAAAAAAAAAATTATAAGAAACAAAATGTAAAATTAATAAGAATAATAATGGAAGACGAGCAATATGCAGCACGAAGTTATTACTCGGAATAGCACGCGCCACACTATCAAGTATAATATTCTCATAGAGTAATATTCTTGTATAGAAATGTCAACAGCCGATAGTAGATATTATAATTTGAAACCTCGTGAATAAAGCTAGACGATAATCGATAGCTATAAATAATAATCAATTATCAATGTTATTATTAACATACCAATAACAAATTTTCTAAAAATAAACGTATGCCCTATGGATTTTGTTTCTATTTATGAAGTAGGTATACGAGCGTATACGTGCGTATACTTGCGTATTGGTGTTACTTTTATAAAGTATACGCTAAATCACCAAGATGGTTCACGGGTATACGTCGTATACTCGCGTATACCCTCCAAAACACCACTGTAGCATGCTTATTTGTGCTTTTTTTAGTGCATGAACTTACGAGCCCTGAATTTATGTGTAAAGGAAAAAGAAACTGCACTACGCCTCGGGTGATATAAATTTAGCAAAATTTCCTTAGCATGTAGTTGTTTTAGCATTTTTAGATTATAATTTTTAAAAAGTACGTCAGTACTTATTGTATGAGGTTTATTAAATGAAATTCTTAGCAAGGAATTTATTGTAGTTTCTAATGATTTTAAGTGTACTTCATATACACATCCCCACGCAGATATTTCATTAGAATAAACCGATTGAGCAAGGGCACATAAAACCATACGTATTGTGTTTGGTAATAAGAATCTACTAAGTACTTTGAATTTACTGTACAGTGTACATACATCTAACTTTTTTAATTAATTCATTAATGTGCAAGTTCCACTTTAAGAATCTATCAAAAACTATTCCAAGGTATTTGACTGAGTCGGCGTATTTTAAAGAGGTACAATTACAGATAGTATTAATAGTTAAACAGCCTATACAATTAGAGTCATGTATTTTGATACATTTATAAACATTAAACATATTAGCCTTAGAAATCTAAAAAGGGATACAGGTAGTTTTATTAAAATTTATCTCCAGAGATTTTGCAATAAACCATTTGTTAATAATTAAATCAAATGTACCTACTGTAATTCAACCATAGTTTTACTATTTTAACAATAAAAAGTATGTGATAGGCCGCATATGACGTGTAGAAACATGTACGATAGACATAAATGATATATATATATATATATATGTTACGGGCAATGTGGAATACTGGTCAATGTGGTCCTGCCCGGGCAATGTAAACCATGAATTTTTTTTTAACCAAATAATATAATTTCTTATTATTTTTACCTATTCATAGTGTTGATTTTTTTTTTAAACAATCAATATTAATTTTATTCGTGTATCATAATACAATAAACTATGCATTTTTTGAAACACTGGACATAAACTTATTTTTGTTACTTATCTTACTGCCTATTTAAAAATCAAGTGTAGAAAAGCAGACAGACTATGTAATTCCAAGTGCCATGCTTTGAAATCTTGTTCAAATAAATAGGTAATAATAAAATTATAATTTATTACAAAAGTAAAATGATAATACTTATTAATTTTTTTTTGTTATTCAATCAAAATATTCGTAATATTATGGTACACGAATAAAATTAAAAATGATTGTTTAAAAAAAAAAAAATCAATACTATAAATAGGTAATGATTATAATTTATAATAATAATAAAAAATAATATTAGTTGGTTAAAAAAAAAAATTGTGGTTTACATTGGCCGGGCAAGACCACATTGACCGGGCAATGTATACATTGCTCGTAACATATATACATACATATGTATAAATATACTATTTTTTTTTATTTTCAAAAGTAATTAACAATCTGTATCCATACTAAACACAATAAGAAAATGTGATAAAGGTTATTAACATATCATGAGATTTTGTAGAAAGAAGCCACCCATTGATAGCACTTTCTGCTAGCTTGACAATTATTTATTTATTTATATATATATTTTTTTATTTTTTTAAATTAAATTAAATTAATGAAATCTCGACACCACTTACGCTTCAGACATCTCCGAGGATGTCCAGGAATTGAGGGAGTGGTCAAGTTTTTTATTAATTGATTTGCTTGATTTTGATGGTAATGGAATATATTATGTATATATGATCACATATTATATGTATACATTCTATAGAAACAAATATGGTAGATGACAAGTTGTCTGGTAGACATCATACGACAAGAATACCAAAAATTTAGTCGTTAAAAAAAATGTTGGCGGAATAGAGTATTATGTTAAAAAAGTGATAAAAAGTGTTGTCTAATAATTAAAAATTTGTAAGATGACAGCCGATATGGCGAAACGATCGTACCCATCTGCAGTAATGGTTTTTATAAAAACATCGTCTAGTCCTCCTAATTACGTTCATTAGCATATTACTCTTTAGGTGTAAATTACACAAAGTCTAAAATGGCTGTATGGTGAATGTGAAAAAAAAATGTATATAATACAATAAAATAATACAACGATGTTGTTTTTTTGACGAAAAAAAACTATTTACAATACATAAATACATCTATAATTTGTTGTCTTGCTTGTAGTTGAAAATAAAAATCATTCAATCAAATCCTTCTCCCCAATTATTATTTCTACAGTCATTGTCATCTTAGGTCCGTGTATCGCTTTTATGGTGCATAATGGAGTTCGAATTCGCAAATAAAGACAACAAAATATGACATTGTCATCAGTGCCCACCACTGGCTAGCAGTGCCGCAAAAACCGGGTGTGCAGAGTGTGCGGCGCACACGGGCCTCAAGGCTTACATACATTTGGGGGGGCCCCGGGCCCAATTTGGAGCAAACACTGAAATTGTCTTAAAACTCAAAACTTAATTATTCATAATACTTTTTTTTTTAAGTTGAAACATTATTGTAGTTGTAGGTATATACTAATATTAGATTAAGTAATAAGTATGTTAAAATGGATGGTAGGTTTAGAAAAAGGTGGGTACTATCAAGTATTCAAGTGTCAACGTTTCTAATTTTTTAAGTACAATCAATTTTTCCATAAGATCTATTTTTATCGCGTATGGGTCTTTGTTTGTCGCATTGTCGGAAGAACAACAGGCTGATAGCGGAAAACGCCGACGGTTGATAAGTGACGACGTACACAACATTTTACAGGTATTTAGTACTGGGAGGCCTCTGAAATCCGTTTAGTCTGCCTTTTTATTTTTATTAATTTTAGCTTATTCTATAACATCACTTATTCTTATTGTTCCCTTTGAAACAGATTGAATAAAACGTATGAACCAAAAAAAAAATTATATATATGTAGGTATACACAAAACCTAAAAACGTTGGCACTTCTAGATTGTAATACATACAGTAAAATTAATTTAGGAAGGGGCCCAAAAAAATATTGCACACGGGCCCCTTATTATGAAGTTGCGGCACTGCTGGCTAGTATAGCAAATGACAATATTATGAAATAATAATATGAATATTATGATCAAGATTTCCAAGACGTAATACTGCAGTAGGTACGCGTAGTTATGTGCCGAATTGTATCTAACTCCGAATCCCGAAACGGGTCGGTAAGTTTCGCCGACATACCGTACAGGTACATAAATATTGTATTATTGTTGAACATTCGATAATGAAACGTTACGAATCGACACGTATCGATACACTTAAAATATATTGTCTTCCTTGGACATGTATGACATTATTGTTGTTTCGTCACGGCGAGGGGGATTGGTGGTGGTACAACAAACTTTGGACTATGTTATGCACTGGTAGCAGAGTAATCAGGCAACACGCTTAAAATGTCAGGGGCGGCGCGCATGCTCTCGGTACACTCACGCGCACGCGCATACGTTCGTACTCTTTCCAAGCACCGCCGTCGCGCGCTAGTGCAGTAGTGCACTACGTCCGTAGTGCCACAAAAATTTGTACATTTGTACCGTCGGTTCGGAGCGTTATCAGTTGAGTTCGCTACACAGACGGTCGTTTTGATTCCGCGGCTGCAACACGGCGCAAATATCATCACCGCCCGATGTCATTAGTCAGTTGTAGTCCGCATCTCTTCCTCAGTTCCACCGTGTAACCACTGTAATCCGTCGTTGCCGTTTGGCTATCCAACATCTGACCACCGTTGACCGTTGTGAACCGTCTCCGTGGATAATAATCGTACACTTCGACGTGACATCCGTGCATCGGCGGCAGTTATGGCGACTTTTGACCGGTGCATCGACGGCGGTGCTTCATTTGTCGGACCCATTGGAATTCAGGTGATTTTTAACCGTGTGTATAAGATGTAGGTAGATCTTAACTGTGGTTGTGATTCCATTGTCCAGTGGCTGTTGTTCATGTGGCACGTCGACGATCATGTTTTTACATCGTTAACTGACCTGCCGCTGTAGTCTTTGCATGCTGTCAACCTGGCTGGTAGGTCAATAAATGTTTATTATATGCAAAACCATCTCTACATGTCTACTGCAGTGCCCAATCCAGTCGTCTACTTAACACACATTCACACCTACCTATTCAGTGTTGGGAAAGAATGTTTTTTTATGAACAATCATATTTAGTGAACGATAAGCAAATGTCAATCGTTATTCTCAAATTGATCATGAACAACGTTTAATGAATTTGAACAATTTTTAAGATGCTCAATTTATTTACCATCTAATAAATATAATGATTAATTATATCATATCATCATAATATTTTCTTATTATAATTCCCATTATATAAAAATTATAAAAATTAAATTAACGACTCAGTGAACTCATTCATTTGTGCAATGAACGTAAACATGTGCATGAATCCATTTTCTTAGTGAAAACCTCGAACGCTGCACCTACTACCTACTGCCTGATGTAATTATCCGATGTTTGTTGTCTGTCTACCTGTTAAATATTTACAGAATGTGAAATGGTATTGTCAAGTGCACAACAGATACTGTACTGATGCATCTTTCACATAAAAAATAGCTATTATTTGGTCCTTTCATAGCCTTCGTCAGTTTTTTGTTGTTGTGTTTCATTTATTTGTTGTAGGTATACATCTGTAATCAGTTTGTTATCATTAGTGGAACAGCCCTCTGCATACCAAATAATGATTTCTTAATAATAATTTATGCCAACAGACTAGTTTTCAAATGATTGCTAAGTCGATTTGATATCATCAGCTACACGCATCAAAAAATAATTTACAGGCTCTTTTTATACTCAGCTATCATTGTTTTAAATCAACACGCTATACAATTTGGTGCATCTAGTCATATTGTGATTCTACCCTACGGAATTACACTAAGTTAGATCCCGCTTCAGTAAATATTCACGAGTGATTCCTAATATAAAATTACCAAACATCATTTACATTTGTATTACAATTAAATGTACTTAATTTAACCTAACCTAACCTACGAGAATTTACAATTCATGATATGATTACATACCCAGGTATTTTAAAAGTTATAGGTACATACAATAGTTATGCAAGAAAGTTAGGTATATCGACTAATCAAGTGTATAGGTATTTATATATACTAGTATATAGGTACTAGCTGTATTACCCAGCTTTACCCGTGAAAAAATAAACTAACATAATATAAAGCCATTATCAATATATCTAGAATTAATATACCTCAGTCCACATGGAAATCAGTATCGGGTTACCTTGCTTTGAGAACTAATCCTAATGGTATGGGCAATTCGACTCTTTTGGATGAAACACAAGTTTCGTAATAGGTCAATTCACTCTAATTTTTTAATTAACAAAACCACACATGATCTGTTGAGCATAAATTCACTATGTAACGCACTTATTAGACAGAGACAACAAATGCCAGTGTTACATCCTCTTAAGCTACATACTAGGTTATTGCCTTTTTTGTTTATTTAAATAACAAACAATTAAATTAAATATTATTATTTATTTTATTGAAAAGTCCACATAGCATGGCAGTTCGACCCAGTCAATATAATTTTTTGATAGGCATTATTATTGAGCCCAAACCGGTTTTCTTTATTAATGGTCGTAATTACAAAAGATGTATAGTGGGGTGCATGATGTTTTCAGATTATGTTGTGTTATTAAAACAAACTGAAGAAGTGAACGAGAGATTGAAAGGGTGGTGAACAGTGCTGGAATGGAAGGGACTAAGGATAAGTAGGAGTAAGACAGATACAATCGTGTATACATTTGGCATAAGTTAACAAGGAATTAATGGTAAAAAATAAAAAGGACAGAGAGGAAAGATAAGAACAAATACTAGATGAATAGACACAAATAAGGAAATTCACAAAAATAGTTGGTAAATGATAGGTGGGAACTAGAGACCTATGGAGGTTTAGGAGTTACAACCTATATTGTTGAGAGTGAAGGATGTAGAAAAAGCTTGCATGTTTGGTGCACAGAAAATAATTTTGATTGGAATATTGGATACTTATTGTTTGTCTGTGACTAATTCTCATAACAATGTATATTGGTCATATTCGACTTGGTACTCTTGACTCAGCTAAGTTGGTTTTTATAGCATATTAAAGTATATTTGCAAAAATAATTTAGTTTTTACTAAATTAATAACTGCATAGGTAATTAATTGTTTTACTCTATTGATTTTAAATGGTTGGTACCCTTGTCACATATTTAGTAATGTACACGGTAATATATCATAAGTGACATTAGTAATGGACTTCAAACAATATTTTAGAAAGTACTAAAATATAAAAATTAAAGAGTTAATCAAAGCAGTCTTGGATAGAAGTCAAAATAACCTATAAGTACTGAATGTATAGAAATGTAAAATTGTTCTACGTGTTCTTTAATTTTTTTTACTTTGTAGTATGCAAGTGGTCTACCACCAAACACTGTTACAGACCGCCTGGCATACACCACCTTGTGTGAAATATTCCAGACAGTATACAACCTGCCAAGGCTAGGAATTAATGGGTTAAAAAGTTAAAGTTGTTACATAATAAGTTACTTTTTTTTAGAATTAACTTATAACTTGATGAGTTACATTTTTTCCATGTCATGAAGTTACTTATGAGTTACTTCATTTTGTTGTCAGGCTAAGTTATTTTTTCCTAAAACAACACAATTAAAATATTTTCTATTCTGTAAAAATTAATTTCATATAAAAAATAAAATAAAAGTAAATTGAAATAATGGCTATAAATTATAATATTGTATGTTCACAGATTATATAATAAACAGAAAAGTTATTAGGGAGATAACCATCATTGAGAAAATAAAAATATAACTTTTTATCTACTTAGTATCCCATATGGGTTTGTATACTCATTAATCCTAATTAATTAATAGTTATTTCTTATTATTATATTTTTATTCATTCATAAAATTACAACAGAATTGAATAATACTTGATTTAATGATATAATATGGTATGTAATTAATTATATGTTAATAATTAATTTGGTAACTTAAATTTAGTATAATTTTGTGGACTATTAAGTAAACAAATACATAAAAATAATTATTTTGTTGGATTTGGTCATTGATTAAAGTATATGAGTACCAATTCATTTTAATTGTAAGAACTCTGTACAATTATGATATTTGTTAGCTTTACAAAAAGTATTATTTTTTATGAAAAAAGTAACTTTTACCTCACCTCACGTATGTCTATATAGACTTCACTTAACAAATAAAAAAAAATAGTTAACTTGCCCAGCTATGGTATCAGTGGCGGCTTGTGCAATGGATCACACGGGCTCGTGCCCTTTCTAAATTATTGAAATAAAACAATTTATTTAAAAATTTATATTAAGTTAAAAATATATAATGTATTATATCCACAGCTCTATCAAAATATTTAGTTAGTATTTCACAATAATATCGAAATAAAAAAATGTGTTTGAATATGTGCCTTCAACATGTGAGCACCACGTGATGGGCAAATACCCATTGTGCCTCAATTAACAGCAGTTAATTTCTCCAACTTGACAGAAATTATACCCAGATTCTATTTTTGTTATGATATAAGTTGTTTGTGATTAGAGGCTTAGGTAAATTGAAGGAAATTCCTAATATTACTCATAAGCAAGGCTTGGAAGTGTTTGAGCTAAAAAAAAAACAATGAAACATATGCACCACAAACTTCTTAAATAATATGAATAATAATAATTATTACATGATAATATGTAACTAATAAGTTATACCTAATTCACCAATTAAATTAATAATTAAACTTTAAGATCATTTTGGGTTTTGCATAATTTATATTTGAGTTTGTAGTGATTTTGTTTAAACCCTACATTGCGGTATTGAATTGCTTGTTTCCCAACATGTATAAATTATTATAATATTGACCATCTCATTATTTAGTTTCATGTATGATGTTACTATTGTTTGCATTTAATCACATGTATATTGTATTATGTCAAAGTGGCTTTGCTGATTAAATCTATATAATAAATAATGAATAATAGAGACATTGATACATACATACGTACTGTATTCAAAAAAATGTTATATATTATCTAATATTCTTCAAATAATTCCCGTAGTATATCAACATAGACCAATATTTACTGTTAATTTTTTTTTTTTTATCAAGTACCTATCTCATCATTAATTTTTAATACCAATTAAAAATATAAAATACTAGCATAGGTACATATATTTTATGAAACTAATAAATTTTAGAACAGTTCCCCAGTAATTAGTATTAATTATTAAAATTTCAAAAAGATTTTAACTACAAATCAGACATTCACACAAATTCACATTACACATATTTATGTCAAATATTGGCATTTTAAAGACATCATATGGTAATATTTTCAAAACATTTTGGATCTTTTTGAACTAAAAGAGGAGTTTAAAAAGTAAAAGCGTTTAAAAAAAGTGGGCATTAATTAATTAAATAGTTGCCTTTAAATTATGTTTAATGATGCTGTACACATGTTCTTACTTCTAAGGACAAGACAGATGGATAGTAATTTTATTATTACTGATGATTGACTAATTGTTGATTTATTACATTAATATGTTATGTTTTCTAATTGGTTATAACTATTTGTTTTAGGATTTATCTATGAGCTAATATGGATGAACCTTGCTCAAAATATGATTTAATGATAAACAATAACAAGCAAGTTGAAAAACCATCTAATCAAACAAATTCATCTTCTTGTATAAAACTGATAGATGAAAACCATTCTAAAACTGATTCTGAATCCGGTCTATCAATTAGAAAACAAGGACATAAGGAATGTTTAACTACAATTCACACACCGGATAAAAACATAACTTCAACTTATAAATTACACAATTTTTCTACTGTTAATTTGATTAATTTTGTACCAAAAATTGATGATTATAATAAACCAGTAAAAGTTAAATCCCAATGGACCCGTACAAGTCAAATGGAGTTAGCATTAGAAAATTCTACTGATAAAAATGCTCTACCTTTGAATAATTTATCTAAATCTGAAAATATCAGCAAGATATTTACAATGGATGCTTCACCAGGAAACAGTAAAACAAATCAAATTGATGACAAATGTGATAACGATTCGGGACAAGTTAAAAGAAAAAGGGGTAGACCCAAAAAAATAATTAATATTACCGATAATGCATCAATCATTTCAAATATTCGTAATCCAATTCAGACTAATTCAGTTGCTGATATAGTACCTAAAAATACTGATGAATCGAAAGTTATCAAGAGAGGTCGAGGTAGACCGAGGAAAAATAAAATTACATCAACTTCTATTCAAATATCACCAATTGTGTCGAATACAACTCCAGTAAATAAACAAAAAATAACAAAACGTGGTGCCACCGTTAAAAAGAAGCAGAATTTGCACAAACGAGGTCCACAACATCCCTCAAAGTTGCCTGCTAGTAAAGTAATAAAAACTATGACTAAACGATTAAATCAACAATTCCTAAGTTCTGATACAATAGAAGTAAATGAAAACAGTCCTGAATCTGGAGAGAGACCATTTTCACCAATTATGTTATTTCCAGCCAATGGTAATGATTTTAAGTGTTTAACTATATCACGATTTGCTGATACCGAAAAAACACAACGGATTACTTTGGCAAGATGTGATACATTAATTAAACAAGAAAACACTACATTCATTAATTTTATAGAAGACAATGATAACTCAAATGGTCAAGAAAACACTACATCTATTAATTTGTTAGAAGGATGTAATAAATTAAATAACCAAGAAAACACTACATCCATTAATTTTTTAGAAGGTAATAATAAAACAATTGTTCAAGAAAACACCACACCTGTTAATTTTTTAGAAGGCTGTGATAACTTAAATATACAAGTAAACACTACAAGCATTAATTTTTCGGAAGGATGTAATATGTTAAATGAACAAAAAAACACTACATCTATTAATTTTTTAGATGATAATGATAAGTCAAATAGTCAAGTAAACGATACATCTATTAATTATTTAGAAGGACGAAATAAATTACAAGAACAAGTAAACACAACATCTATTAATTTTTTAGACGATAATGATAAGTCAAATAGTCAAGTAAACACTACATCTATAAATTTTTTAGAAAAAAGTAGTAAGCCAAACCAAGATAAAATTGATTGTGTTTCTGGTACAAGAAGCAAAATCGCCAAGTTTTTAATTGAAAGTGAACAAGATGTATTCTCTGAACTTGAAAAAGTAGATTGGAATCCAGCACCAAAACGGATTAGATCAAACAGTGTTAATGAGCCTACAAAAATGAAAAATCGAAGAAATTCTCTTACTGATAATTTTATGTTCCACCCTATAAAGAAACCAAAAAATATCATGCTTGAAAATTTAAAGTTACTCAAATCTTGGAAAAGTGTTTCTTATTTAGAACGTGGACCAAATGTACAGGTTGAAAAAATCATACAAGACGAGCTGGTTAAAAAATTTAGATCTAAATTAAAACGTAGCAGAAGTTTTCCAAACTGTTTATTTTTAGATACAGTTATCTGGAGATTTCTAGTTCAAGAATGTGAAGATGAATGTGAATCAGAAGATGATGATTTGGATTCAGATTCGGATTCAGATTCTGACTCTGATAGGTGTACAAATAGTGAGCCCATACAGCAATATGAACAACCAGAAGAAAAAACCAACTATACGTCTGGACATTTTAATGATTTAAATATGTTCTGTTCTTCTAATGATCTACAATCATTCCAAATACCTCCAAACATAAGAGATTTGGAAAATTCTGAATGTGATCCACAGCATTACCGAGATTCTGATAGTTTTGAATGCTGTTCCCTTGAAAATAGTATGACTATACAGCAATATGAACAACCAAAAGAAAAAACCGACTATATGTTTGGGAGCTTAGATAATTTAAATATGTTTCGTTCTTCTAATAATCTACAATCATTCCAAATTCCCCCAAACATGAGCAATTTGAAAATTTCTGAAAGTGATCAAGAGGAATCTGAAGGCAAGATTAGACGATCTAAGCGATTAAATACAAAAGTTAAGGATACTGATATGTTAGAGGAAGAATATTTCTTATCATCTGAAAATTTAAAAATTGACTCTTTACTGTTAGCTGATGAAATTCGAAGAGACAATGAAATACATTTAGCAGAAGCTAGAGCAAATGACCCAGAGTTGGATAAAAAATTAAAAAAATTGAACTTCAAATTAATAACTAACAATTTGTTCAGGCCTCATAGGTAAGCATTTTATATTCTTTTAAAAATTATTCCTCAAATAGTATTTTATTATTTGAAGGGGTCTGAAAATATGAGACAACTCCATTTTCAAAAATTTTCAAGAAACAAAAAAACCTCTGGGCTATCTGATTTTTATGGAAAAGAGACCAGACAGCTCCTAGTTATATTTTATATCCTATATTGGTGGTCAGTCTCATTCTTGCACAATGCATAACATTTTCCTTAATTAGAAGGGCCAATAACCTATTTTTTTTAAAAATAGAGTTATCTCAATTCATTTTCCCTTCATTTTGTATTTATAATTTTCAATTAATTACAAAAACTTCATCAAATATATATATATATTACTTCCATTGATAGCACTTAAATATAATTTTAGGAAAAAAATGGGTGAGTATACACCAGCAGAAGCACAAGAATTACGGAGACTAAAACCAAGGTAATTAATATATTATTTTAAATATTATTTGAAAATACATCTAGTATTTGTTGTTATATATTCATATTAACATAAACTGTGGGTTATGAAGTGGTTTAATTGTTGTGTTTTATTTTTAAAAGACTTCAAATTACCATTGTTGTGTAACAATTTCTCAGTACAATCTTGAATAATAACCTTTTTTTTTTTAGGAGAACTATCAATTCTGATACTTATAAATGCCACTGTAAATATACAAAAAAAGACTGGATTGAAAAAAAGCCTGGGTGTGCTACAGAGTGTTTGAATCGTTTATTGAATATTGAATGGTAAATCAAATCATTATAGTTTTTAATAAGTTAATATTTAATAAAAAATATTATTTTACTTTTAAGTGGAAAAGCATGTGTTTTGAAGTCATTATGTACAAACAAGCAATTTCAAAATAAACAATTCAAACGTACTAAAATTGTCAAAACTGCAAATAAAGGTTATGGTGTTTTTGCGCTTGAAGATATCCCAAGGTAATAAATTTTATAGATTCATAAGATTCATGTTTAATAAATATTTAATTATGTTGAGAACATAAAACCACTCGAACCCTCAATAAGTCAAATACATAATATACCAAATTATACATTGAGAAGAATTGATTTTACCCTGTTATTTTTAATATTTGTGCAAATTGACCTATTTTTTAATTAAAATGTCAAAATATTATGTAGTTAAAAAATAAAACAAATTTGAAATTCTTATAAATTTCTTCAAAATTAAAGTATAAAAATAGTCTATGTGAGATTATACTGTATTTCTATTCTTAGCTTTTAATTTGGAGACAGAAACGCACATTCAACTACAATGTTCTTTTAATTTAATATTTAATCCAAAATTTGTGCCTTGATGAATCCCACCACCAATAAACAGTATTATCCACCTGGTGAAAATAAAATATGATTTCTTAATTGAGTACAATATATATCAGGGGTGGGTTTTATTTATTTGTCTTATTACACCAAAATTTACTTATTACCTATTATTTTGTTTTATTTGGCATTTATTTAGATTAATTCTGTTATTTAATATTTATCAGCTGTTGGCAATCTTTATTACTCAGATCAAATTATAAAAATTTCTAAATGTATTTATAAACATTTGAGATAGAACACAATACACACACACCTAAAAAAGTCTTTCTCAAGACCAACACAATATGTCATTACATAAGGAATAATGTGTTGACCTTATAATTACACACTTTTGTCAGAGAAGGTTAAGAATCAACAAAGGTTGTTTTTAAAGAAGTAAGTTTCAAGAGGTTGACGAGGAAAAATTGCACCAAGGAAGTAACTTAATAGCTTGACCTGCATAGGCCACGCTTATCTGAACGCTACCCACAGAATGGACACCACTTTAGTAAGCAGGCCCGATGTGTTTAGGTCTCATAACCCACTCGATCGATGTATATACAAAGTGTATAACTATTAAAACATAACCTCATTTGTACGGGGTTCCGACGACCACCAGGCCATCGGTCTCCAATCACATTGTTGTGAATATATTATCTTTACATTGAAATAAAAGAAGAACTCATATCTACTAAATACTAATAAGGTGCCTTTTTCACGATACGGTGTTGCACTGCACTGAGTGTGAGTGCCGTATCACATTTTGGCTCTTGATATCATTGTATTTATCGATGTGACTCATTAGTAATATAAGTCATGAGCATATTCATGTTGGCCACCCCTGATATATAAATTATGCACTTTAATTTAAATACTGTTCAACTAATCATTCTACTGTACCTATTAAATATTAATTATGTTATTAATATTGTCTTATGGTAAAAGGAATCAATTCTAATAAAAAATGATTTTCTCTACAATTTATTAAAAGTTCAACTGTATTACAAATAATGCAATGTTTTTTTAATTTCTTTACTATTACTAATACTTATAAATTGGTATTATAAAATATTAATTGTAGTTAATATTTTGTGTAGTGGAACATTTGTTGATGAATATATGGGAGAAGTTATAGATCAAAGTGAAATGATAAAACGAATGAAAAAAGTATTGTATAAAGATAACAATTATATGGTGCAATTGAAACATGATGAAGTAATTGATGCTACGCGGAGAGGAAATATTACAAGATTCATAAACCATAGCTGTGAACCAAACTGTGTTGCAGAAAAAGTATACTCATACTATTCTAATAAACATACAGAAAATAATTCATTTTTTAAATATAATTTCAGTGGAATGTGTTGGGTGAATCTCGAATGGGGTTTTTTAGCAAACAGTTCATAAAAAAAGGAGAAGAAATTACTTTTGATTACAGCTTTGAAATATTTGGGTATTGCTATTACTTTATCAACTTTAATTTATGTAAACTATTAATTTTACTATTATTATCTAGAGATGCTGCACAGCAAAAGTGTTATTGTGGCTCATCAAAATGTCGAGGATTCATAAGCAAAAAATCGAGAACTGGAGATCAAAGCAGTTCTGAGGATAGCGATGAACATGAAGATGACACTTCAACTGTTAGACCTGATGAATGTCAGGAAAAAAAACAAAAAAAAACTGAAAAAATATCAAATAAAGATAGAAAACGTTTAAAACAGGTTAGAACCATAAATCTGTATAAATATTATGAATATTAATTTTATTTTTATTTTTTGCAGCTTGATCAACAGTTAACAGATATTAGTAAATTGAAAAATAAAAACCGTTCCGACTTGGAGAGTTCAACATTAAATTTAAATAAGTTAATGGTTCACATTACAGATTCAATGAGTAGATCGCATATTTTGAAATTTATTCGAGATAATGATTTAAACTGTAAGAGGTTATTTATGAATTTTAATGGATTGAATATAATCCATAGTTGGATGACCTCAAATAACAATGAAAGCTTAAAATTAGAAGTAAATAGTTTTATTAACATATAAGGGATAACATTTAATGTTCTTAACATTATATTAATATTAATATTGTAAATTTCAGATTGTTAAAACTCTTTCAGACCTTCCAATTTCTAACAGAAATACAATAACAAAGTCAAAAGTTTTAGATATTGTTGCTCAATGGGCCAATATTCCATTAAACATAAAAGAAGTTATTGAAAAGTAATTATAATTATTTTGATATGTAATGGCTGAACTAAAATACTAAATTATGTTTTTATTGTTTAAGCTTATGCCATATATTTTTAAATACTTTTAAGATTATTATTGACTTGGTTGAATATGTAAAAACATATTTTATAGATGGATTCATATTTTATTGTGATAATTTTTTAATTTTTAGTTTAGACTATCCAACATCACAAATTAAGGAGCACGAGCAAGAAATTGATAAATTATTACCGGATGTAAACAATCTATCATCATTAGTTCAAGCAGCAAGAATTTTATGGAAAAAATGGATAATTTTGAAAATTGTTTTTAAAATACCAAAATTAGATCGTCCAAAAGAAGGTATATTATCAAAACATGTTATAATATTCTGTACCAACAGCCCTTAGGTAAAAAAAAATTAGCAGCAAAACAAAAAAGATTCACTTATTTAAAAACTAATAATCAAATATTTGGATACTAAAAGTTACAATTGTAATTCCAAAGTTCCTATCATTTTTGTTATTTTAAAGGTTAAATGGTTGTCAATCAATTTAGTATTTACTGAATTCATTTTTATCAAAAATTTTAATCTGTAAAAGTACACAAGTTAAATGTCAGCTTTAATATTGAAAATATGTTTTAATACTTCATAGTATTTGGTTCGAATTTAATACTGTTAAAAAAAATTTCTTATATTTTTATTATTCTTTAGGGTCATAATTTGATGTACTTGTGTTATGTGATTTTGATAACCTGTAAGTTCTAGTAGTCTAGAAATTATAATGTTTAGATGAATTAATAATTTTTAACACAAAATAAACTCTTACAAATGTAAAACAGTGTTTCCCAGAGAGTGTGATGATAAAAAGAAGTCACAAGAATTTGAATTTTTTATTCAATACAATTCTAGGATGCCACACCCGCATGAAGGCCGCATGTGTCTATTTTACAAAACCTCAACATGGAAAATTTTATGTTCACAATAATAGATTTTACTTTGTAATTTATAAAAGTTAAGGTTATTATTAAGGGCATCTTATAGGCTTTTTATCATATTTTAATTTTATAAAATATATAGTAAAATGTATTATTTTGAACAAAAAATCTGCCATGTTGTATTTTGTAAGATAGAAACAATACATGTGGGTGTGGCGTCTTCTTAAGATATAACTGTTTGGGAAATAAACTTCATGAACACAAATATACTACACTTATATCTATTAAAAAATAAATAAACTGTGGGAAACACTGAACTATAATATGCTTAAAATAATATTATAATTTAAAAATGTATAAACAGATTGTCATTTTACAATTTTGATTTTAGTGAACTTTCCTGATGATGTTATTCAACCACCCATACTGTTTCCACAACCAGAAATGTAAGATCTAATTAAATTAAATTTTTTAACTGTCGTATTTAATGTTATTAACATTTGCATTTTAGAAATTCTGTTCCATATCATTTTGGAAATCCTACAGTTCCTAATCAACCTTCTAAAACAAGGTATAAAAGCATTCATGATAAATTAAATTGTGTGTTCACTAAGTTAAATTATATTTAGTTAAATAGTTCTTTTATATTACAAGCTGATAATGATTAATCACAAAATTATCTGAATAGTATATTTGTATAAATTAACTTTTGAAACACATTTTTCATGTTGTATTAAATGTATTAATTAATTTTAGTTGTGTGCAAAGCCAAGGTAATGGTCAGACCAATTATGTGGATGTATTAAAAAACGTAACACATCATCCTGATCAAAAAATTAATCGAGACAAGTAAGCATTTAGCTTTGAGTATTTAAAATGTTTATGAGTATTATTGTGATTTTTTAAGATGGATATTTATCTTTATATATTAACTTGTAATTTAAATAGGAACAAAACTGTTTTTGAATGGAATAAAAAACAATGGGATTATTTGCCTTTTAAAACAAAGAAGGTTATTACTCCTGCCATGGTAAATAATTCAATTAATTCAGTTTTAAATCCAAAACAAAGCATAACATCTACGTTTAAACCAAGAATTATTCACCAAGAAATTCCAACAATTGAAAGCAGCACACTTAGTAAAAATATGAAATGGAGTGGCATCACTGAAAGTAAGAAACTATTGAACATTTGATTTAAAATCTATACATATTTAAATGTCGAGGATATAAATATATTTGGCCCCCAAAATGAAGGTTTACCTCTGGTCTCCAATTTTATTTTTAATCAATCTATTATATATTTTCAAAAAGATATTTTTTAATTCATTAAAAATGTCGAGTTTTTATGGTTATTTATTTTAAAATAATAGCAAAAACAAAATGATTTGTTTTGTAAATATTATCTTGCTGTGTTTGTTAATATTTCCATTTTCCTGATTATTGAGCAGAAGGGACTACTTTTGATCTCCTTAAGTTTCTATTAAATCCAATTTTCTACCAGAAACAACCTTCAAAATTTAAAATCAAAGGTTTATTAGTTCTTATTAAGGCGACGTTGTTCGCTATTTCTACTAACAATACCCAAATGCTTTTATATTGAATTGACGCTTTTAAGTGCTATAATAGATTCACAACTAAGGTTAGTTTTTTTTTCTATTTGTGCTTTATTATAAAAATTATGTTTATAATAACATGTTTTACATTTGGAATTGATTTGGTTCATATTTTTTAATTTTAAATTAAATTGATTTTTGCAGCTACCTCAACGGTCTATGAAGTAACTGATTCTACTGAAAAAGTGAATTCTACTTGTACACAAGATATCAAAGTAGTTGATGTTGAACCAATTGTATATAACCCCATTGAAGAAATTATAACCACCAACCAAACATGGAATTTACCCCCGCCAACCATTGTTGATCTTTGTAATGGGTCTACTCTGCTATCTATGCTAAAAACAGTTCCTCCATGTTTACCAAATGACTTTATTTCTAATATGCCTGATGAAGCTAACCAATGTTCATTTTCTAATGGTAATACTCCTTGGTGTATAATGCGTCCTGAAAATGTGATGTATGATGCTCGACATCCAAGCATTCAAGAACAACTGGCTTTCTTACCGATTGACGTAACACTCAAAAAATCAACTAAAACTCAATTAAATATACCAAATACTAATACAGAAAAAACAGATTCCAATAAAAACTACAAAGCTGTACAGCCACTAGATGATGGAATGCGTGAAAAATTATTTAAACAATGTAAAGAAAATGTGCAACGATTAGTTGATAAAGGAATATTGAATGTTTGTAAGACAGCTAGACAAAATTATGTAGATCAGTCACCAATTAAAATACTCCAATCATTTTTTAATAAAAAACTAGTGAAAACACCAAATATGTCACCTGAAGACAACCAAAATCAATATGTTTTGCCAAACTTAATCAAACGCATAAAAGTAATAAGTAATTATTATCGAAAACAGCCATCCAAAATAATTGAAATAAATAATTTAGCAAAATCAAATTCTCAGAAAAGTAAAAATGACATATTTAGAATTAAGGAAGACCAAGGGACTGAAATAACTGATACAGCATCCGCAGCTTTAACATTACACAATGAACAACTAAGAACTCTTCCTGAAAAACTCAACTTGAATAAGATGTTCAATAAGAAATCGTTAAAAGTAAATACTAAAAATAAATTTGCACTTAAAATTTTAAATAGTATGATAAAACATAATTCAAGCATGCCCAAATCTTTTATACTTCAATTCTCATCAGATACCAAAATAATCACTCACAACCCTTCAATTGAATTAGAACTTCACTACAAATTAATTCCATCAGTGCAAAATATTTTATGTGCTAAATTAAATAGGGGAGTTGGAAAAGACATCATAAATGTGTACAGACAAAAAATTGTCATGAAATATGATGAAACAAAGGCTCCAGAACCAGTTACTCCATCGGTATTAAAAGGAAATATTGTTTTATCGGGCAACAGTACAGAAATACCTCAATTTAAAAAGGGAAAAAGAAAAATGCCTTTGCCACCTTTACACAACACAAAAACCAGGAAAATGATTGATTTATCAGTGAACAATATTAATAAATCCAGAAATCAAGCTGCAATAATAGATAAAACTAATGATAATATGGGTTTTCAAAAACCAATGCCTTCTGTTATTAATAAAAACAACTGTCAACAGATTAATTCTTCTATGATCAGCCAAGAGCAAGAACCTAAAATATCAAGTATTGAGCTGATAAATACAAATTCAAATGAATTTAAACAGAAACCTAGTACATCAAGTCAAATAATACCAAGTACTGTTTTCTTGAAAATAGATACAAATGATTTTAGATTGGAACCTAGTACATCAAGTCATGTAGAACCAGATATTGATCAATTAAAAATAAATCTTAATGAATTAAGTGAAGAACCATCAAATCAATTAATCATAAATATTACGTCGCCAAAATCAAATGCAAATGAAATTAGACAAAAACCTCTCATGAAGTGTTTACCATTCAATAAAGTAGACAACATTATAATAACTGAACTAGAAAAAAATGCTAAATTTTTAGCCTCAAGTTTAAGTATGGATTCCACTAATGTTTTACCATCAACAAGTAGTGCACTAATTGACCCTATCGTACAAAACTTCAAGAATTCTATTAGTCAAAATAAATCTATGGTACGTGCAAATCTTGTTGATGATCCTATTGTGAGGGATTATATAGAACGTACTCATTTGCAAACACATGAAACAAAACGTAAATGTAAGCTACCAGAAAGTATGATGTCATTACCTGTTGAAGTTCTTGACCTCATACCAGACAATCAAAGAGAAATCAAGTATGTAATTGACTTTTATCACGCTATGGCTACAGTTATTGTCAAAGTATTAGACCTGTATGTGAAGAAGAGTTGCAAACAAGGACGTATAAAAAATGATGATGATTTCAAATATTTAGCAAAAAAGGTAATATTTGTATTTAAATTTAACATGTTTATTTAACCATTAATTTGGTTGATATTTACAGCTCAATTCCAATATTTTATTCAAAGAACTTCAAGTTAAAAAGGTAGAAGACTTAAGAATTAGTGATAGTGTCAAGCAGAAAGTCGAACAGTACATTAAAAAATATATGTTGAAGTATGGAAAACTGTACAGAAGAAAAAGTACTGGTATGTATATACATAATTTTTTTATGAATTGAAGATATTTTCAGTACTCCGCACTAACTCACACAATAATATGTTAAGTATTAACTATTAATCTTACTATTCATATTACCAATAATAATTAACTATTATATATAATCTAAACAATAATTTCTTAGTTTAAATATTACCCACATACAATATATTAAATATTTATGCAAATTATTGTTAAATTATCTAATTATCTTAATCTACGATACTAACTTTAAATTAGTTATTTATGTTTCAGTATTTTTAAATACTTATTTATTGAAAACATCTAAAAAAAATTGATATATCATACTTATCAATGGCAAATAATTGTTTATTTGTTTTATTTTTCAACAAATGTGTGCTATAAATACTTATTTTCATGAAATTTGTGAAAAATAACAATAAAATTATAAAAAGAAAAAGATAGATTATTTTTAAAAGATATATATTTTTACTTACTAAAGCAATCAGCAATCATACTATGCAATTAATTTGTAAGTAGATTTATATGTTTTATACATTATTATTTACTAAGAATTAATATAAAAATATTAATTTAAGTCTAGTAAAAGTTGGATCTGTATTTGAAATATTGAGTAATAAATGTAACTTTTTAATATGTATGAAAGATGATTTATTTGTAAATAATTAATGTTTAATTACTTTTAGATCAATGATCCTGTCTGCGATAACATTTTCAACTGAATAGAAGATTTTTTGGATACTATTCATCAAAATAGTAAAATTATTTTATCATTACATATTTTACTTTTAAACTTTCCAAGGTAAATTATTATTACCATCATTATTTATAATGTGTTCCTAGATTTTTAATTTAGGTTATAAGTCAGTAAATTATTTTTATTAGCAAATTCGGGTATTTTTAAAAATATGTTAATCTTTGTTTTACACAACTTACAGTTAACCATATTATGTATTTCAAAAAGTTATTTTCCATACACTTTTAATGAGTAAATTATTTATGTTTTTTTGTAGTCATCGTCTTTTAAATTTTAATATTCAATACTCATATTTTGATAAAAGCCAAGAATTAATTGTTTTCAAATTAAATGGATATTTTTTAATATTTTGAAACCCTGGCAATTATAATGTGACAAATCAACGATTTTATCCAAGAGTTAAAATTTTCAACTTATTAATTTTTACCAAATTAATTAATTTTGTAAATTTTAATTTTAAATAATATTGTTTATTTATTAAGTGTAAAATCAACTTAATATTAAATTGTCAGTATTTGTGCCACTTTATTTAATATTAGCATTTTTTGAATATGGTTGTTAAATATACATTTTACTATATTAAAATTAATATGTTTTCCTTATATAATAGATATTTTGTTTTTTGTTAGTAAATTTTGCACTGCCATAAACGAATAATCAAGGAAGATACATTTTGTTGGCAAAGCAGACTGCAGAAAAAAATGTTTATGTTACGTTTAACTTTTTCATACCCATAGTTTTTACAATGTTGACATAATATGACATTTGATATTTACATTTTATATTTCCAAAACTCAAGTAGGCTACTTTTTTATTTGTTAAGTATTATTCTGTTTTTGTAAATAATATTACATAATGTACCTTTTGATATATTTACAAGCGGGAAAAGTTTCTATTTAAAAAAATATTACATACAATACCATTTGAGTCTTAAGAAATGACCTGCTGATCTCTAACTACATGTATATTTTCATATTAATATATATGTATGTGTGTTCTATGATATGAGTGTTGTACAAATATTTATTGAAATGTATATTCTTTTTTCTAAGTATGTGTATACTTTAAAATAATGTATTTTTTAACTTTCCCTCATAGCTCAATAAAAATAATTTTTTTTATTCCAAAGGTTTTGATTCAGTTATTAAAATAATGTTGCAATTTGTTTTATTGTGTATACATTTTTTTTCTCAAAATTATTTCATTTTGTACTGGACATTTTGGTTTATAAGAAAGAATAAATATCTTATGTACCTAAGTGAATAATTATTTTGTTATTTATTAAAAAAAACTAAAGTTTTTAATATCCATATTTTGGTATTGATTTACCCAACATTTACTTTTTTTACTGATATAGCCAAAAATAGTTAAGTAGTAATTAAAGATTGGAAGCAGCAATTCCCATAAATAAGCAATTTTTGGAGGGAAAAAATGTATTAATTACAATCACCACTAATACTAGGCAATCATACATAGTTTTTAAACAATCATTTGTTTGAAACAATAATCAAGATCATCAAGTCTTAAAAACTCCTAAAATTGAAACTAAAATACTATTTACCGCCATAATAAAAAGTTAATGGATCAATAGGGTATTTTTTTATGATTAGATATGAGTATATTTAAAATAATAATATAAGTTATATATTATTAACTATAAAACTATGTATAATTTTATACATTCTAAAGATGTTTAAATTGTATAGCAATTGTTAAATTTATAAAATATAAAATATGAACTATAAATTAGAAATTAGAAATTATGATTTTAACTTTTAAAAACACAATTTTTATGAAAATGTAGTATTGCAGTTAATTTTAAATATGTTTGAAAATGTATTTAAAACCTCTTTTGTTTATAATATTTAGTAATGTTTAGTCAATTAAATTATTCACAAATACATAATTAGTATTCAATATGTAAATCATTGTTTAATTTTGTTATTTTTTTAATCAATTTTTATTGTTTGTTTATTTATAATTATCTAATAAAAATCTTTTTTTTTACTCTATTGTATATTGTGTCCTTTTAAATTGTACCTAATTTTCAACTTAATTGTAATAATGTTTACATTATTATTAATATAATAATATACATTCTTGTAAATTAATAACTATAATTTTTATTATCTGGTATTTATGTATTATGTTTGGTGTCTAAAAGTGTGTAATATATGAATATTTAACTTCTTTTTTGTAACGCCAGAAGCAATTGCACGACAAAAAACTATTTTGAATAATTTTTGATATAAAAATATTAATATAATTACCTACTTATTTAGGTATAGGATAAATTCTTCATAGATAAATATTAATCTTGCTATAATTCTAAGAATAATTATTAAGTGAATCAAAGGTTTATTTATTTTTAATTTTCTGCTAGGCCAGATAAGTGCAGTTAACGAAAATCTTAAAGGGTTGCCTTAATTTGAGCAACATTGATTTCATTTCTTCTATTATAAGAACATTTTTGTTTTTTTCAAGTTGCATGGTATTCATTTTTTTTAATTGAGATTAGATGAGTTGGAACATGTGTATAACTTGAATGAAATAGCGAAGATGGATAATAATGAATAGCTATAATTATAAATTGTATTCTTTTAAAAAAGTCATGAAGTAATATTTGATTATCGTTAAAACCAAAATAAATAAGAAATGTAAATAAGGAATTTCAAAATGAAAGTCATGATCTTTTCAATTTTCCTAATAAATATTGGTGAAACATCCTCTTTTGGTAAAGTTTTAATTGGCTTAGAATTTGGGTCAGTTGTTTATGAGATGCTGATGGCATTTAATCTTTTGTAGACGGGCAAATCATATGGCATATTCATAAAAAATAACATTTTTAATGAAACCAAAGGGAACAGTCAGATATATATTATTTTGGTAGCAGAATTGTACACCCCTTATTCAGTATAAAATTAAATAATTAAAATAATTTTGTGAACATTCCAGTCACACGGTAATACATTTTATTGTTGAAAGTAACTTTTACAATATAGATGTAATTTTATTACATTTCTAAATTATTTATATTATACAGTTATTTTTTTAAGATAGGTTATTTGTGATTATTTAAAGGTTTTTAACTTGCGTTTTTTACATTAAATTTGTATATTCACTTTAAATTTTATCTTTTATAATAATTACTAATATTATTAGAAGTTATAAATTATATTTTATTAATACCTATAAAAAATATAAGTATTTAGGTTGTACGTATAATATACCTAAGTAACATCTCTATGTATTTTTTTTATTTTAATATTTTCTTCACACTGGATGTGATGTTGTACATACAATAATTTGTACAGATATTTATTTTTTAAATACCTAATAGACAATTTGCTTTACTTTATTTGATTGTATAAAAATATTTTATGCTTACATTAATTTCTTTTGAGACCAAGATTCACCCTTTCAGTTGTTGTGCTTCAGCTAGTTTTTCAAGTCATTATACATAATATATTAGACATGTACATCTATGCTTTAGTGCTCTTTCCTCCCAAATATATCAATCTCACATCGACATGGATATAATTTTGCATTTTGATATTAATCTTCCCGCTAAATACATAATAAAAATAAATATATTTAACTAAACTAAACTTTAATACATTTTAAAACGGATTACCTAATATATTGAACATACCAAATAATGAATTATCAGAAACCGCAAAACGCACAATGCCGCTCTGTACTCAAGTCATAAATTCATGAAGTAAAGAACATGGTACCTATGATCATATCAGTTACTTATGAATTACGTTGAATGTTGAAAACTCAAGGCGCTTATGACTCATAGGATTGGGCTAAAAGTACTCCACAGTGAGTAAGGTGCCAGGTGGTTATTTAAATATGGCTATTAATGACTAATAAAATCGTTTTACCTAAACAATACTATTTATTATAATGAATTTATAATTTGGAGAATAACAACAAGTAACAACTAAGTTGAACACAAGAGAATATTGAATATTAACTATTACTTTTACCACGGCACGGTTAAACGGAAATACGGAATCGACGGCAATGTAAAATAATACAACTAATACTGTAGGAATAGGAACAAAGTTGGTATCCTTGTATTATTTATCTTATTTTTCATTTTTCTTACATAAATCATTAGTGATTATCACAGAATACAGATCTAAAACAATAGTCATAGATATTATACAACAATATTGTCGTACATATTTATGTTGACTATAGTACCTATCTAATATTATACAGTACAAACAGTATAGTATATATTATGTCTGTGGTGATTATTCAATATAAGATAAGATTGAATATAATATGGGTTTCCTGCATAGTGCTTAGACCTTAATATACTAATAGACGGAGCATGTCTGGCCGGAAGGGTTGTGTGGTGCGTTCATGGCTATTTCTACTACATACAAGTGTTATATACAGTCAAAACTCTTTATAACGAATCTGAAGGGACCAAGAGATTTCTTTCGTTATAGAGAGTTTTCGTAATAGAGAGGGTTTAAAAAAAACAAAATTTTAATTATTTATGTATAAAGGTATGTACCTATGTAATATTATATATCAAACACATCATTATTTTTACAAATAATGAAAGAATGTAATCGTTCTTGGAAATGTCGGCATTATTGCCGATTATTTTTATAGTTTATATATGTAATAAATACGATAACACGTAAATTGTATTATGAAACATAAAATATTGTTTCATTATTGAGAGTGACTAATACGTTATAGAGAATGAATTGTCTAATGAGTTATATAGCAAACCAACCATTATTATGTAATGTTTAAGTTAAATAGAGTTTTTCGTTGTAAAGAGTTTCGTTATAAAGAGTTTTCACTGTATTATTATGTACAATATTATACAGTTTATTCTATCATCTAGTGCGCAATGCGCATGTGCAGTATACGATGTACTACATCGATCAGCGCCCTCACACGTAGACGCCGGAACTACCACCAACTTCCGTCTATTATGTTAATTAAGGTCTATGGTTTCCTGGCGAAACCGTCTTTGCGACGTCGTGACGTTAAAATAAAAAATACTTGTTAATAAATTATTTGTGTGATATATTTTTCATACATATTATACAATAACCACGATCGTCATGCGTTCGCTTGGCTGCCGTTTTTCGTTAGGTCTACTCCGACTGTTTTCTCGCCTAAAATAATTTTAAACCATCTAGCAGTATAATGATGAGTAGGGCAGTGAAGTTAGTGCATTAAAAAACTAAAAGCCAAATTAAAACATACACAAATTGGATTTCAAAAGATCTCGATATATATATATCACCCGTTTAATTAATCGTTATTCATTATTCAATAATCAATAAAATAAAATATTATAATGCAAAAATAAATTAAGAACAAATATTACTTACATTATTGCATTGCATGACAAACATTTTTTCTTAAGTTTTCGCAGTTGAACGACTGTTATCGCTGACAAATTCTTATATCTTAAGAAACTTCTTTCTATTTAAATGCTTGATAGTGTTAAAGTTAATACCTTTGTCAACTATCAATTATTGGACCTGTAAACTAAAGATTGGATTTTGGTTCGGTAACTTATAGATCGATTAATAATATAAAATTTGATTGATGTTATTAATTTTATTGGTAAAAAATTTTGACAGTGTACTATTTATTTTATTATTTTTCGTACTTATTAATTAAATGTTTTCGTTGCTTATCTTTAAAATTAATAATCAATGGATTCTTAGCACTTTGTCATCTTCTAATGATAATGAATTATGTGTTATTTATTTATAAATTATAACTAAACGAACGGCGATATATATAGGCAATTTAGCTACATTCTTGTCGTTCATTGCCTTTTCTAATAATTATGTAAAGGCCAAGTATAATACCTATTGTTATAATTTATGACGTGTAATTATATTATTTATGAAGCATCCATTCTATAAAAAAATATGCACAATAAGTCAAATTTATGATAACAGATAAATTTATATTATTACAATATTTATGTTCTCCAAAACATGTTTAAGTAAAAAATTGAAGCATATTACTGTATTTCGTAAAAAATGATTTACTACAATAACGATCGAAATGAGGGTAACTTGGTTTAGATGATGTAAAATCCGCATCTATGTTTTTTAATCAAATCTAAATTTTTAAATCTAGACTATAGATTCGAGTTTACGATATACCATATTATTATTTTTCCAGTCTGCTGGATCTTTAAAATGATTTGTATTATTCTTTGTAGAAGGATTAATTAATATCTACATAGTTATATGACATTTAGTTCTGATTTTTCTGATTCGTCATTAGCATCAACAACTGATTGATCTGAGCAAGACGCAATACATTAAATATAAGTAAAACAGTTATTAATAATAGTTATATCATTTAAAGATTCTAGTTTATTATGTTAGTACAACTAGGTGGTTATGTTATTTATTTGTTTGGAAAAATTATTTAACATGGGTATTTTATCGAGTTAATTTGTTTTTGCTTTCTTTTAATTTGCACGTTTTCTTAATTGTGCACCACTATTATGACGTTTCTGGTCCATTTCTATACATAAATATCGAACACCAAACAATATATAAAACCATAGACCCAAATCCTCCCCAAGAGTCCGTGAACCCCCCCTCAAAAAAAAGTCCAACAGTTATTGCGAAGGAGCAAAGGGTCCCATGATTTAGGTCCATTTGAAAAATAGTAGCCCCCCAATATTTTCAATGGATTTCGCCTATGTATAAAACACACTTCTCGCTCTAGTGTATAAAAGCTTTATTACAAATTACAATTATATTTACAATAATGTGAACTGATATGTACAGACGATTTTTCAATGCGAGCGACGCATGTACAAAAATACATGAAATATGTTATAAGTGATTGCGGACCAGAGACACAGAGTCAGTGTGATTGTACGGAAAAATAATAATTTGAAATAGAAAGCGTTGGTAAAGACCGTACGACAAAAAGCGTCGATGCAGTGTGATATTGGCTTCAATTTACTATTTCACATTTCAGAAATGTTAATAAAAATAACATAAGGATAGTAGTAAGTGGCGCCCTTAAATCTATGGTTGTGTAGGCTGCAGCCTACACTGTTAATGCCTCAATCCAGCCTTTGTGTGGTAAGTGCGGACTAAGGGAAGGTAATTTCAGTCTTTGGCGAAATGCGTCCCATGTGCTGCACAAGTCGCCCCGCGACTGAAATAGCTCATTTCGACATTTCCCGTCCTTGCTATACACAATATTATATTAACTAGATATGCAGTTTTGTCTAAATATAATAACTGTTAAAACTTTAAAAAAAAAAGTAAATTTAGTAATCATAATTTTTGAATGCCTGAAAGAATGTGGCTTAAATTCCTCAGTTTTACAATTCTTTTAATGGAAATTGTATGAACATTTATGTGTTTTAAATTGTAATCCATATTATAGTGTCAAAAGGCTGATAGTAGAAGTCAGCGGAAAAGGAATGCAAAATAACTCTCTAAAAGTTATAATCCGAAAATATTTATCTTGAAAATAGTCAGTAGGTACTAATAATAAATACAGAGAATAAGTGACATTGATATTTGTTTATATCATTCAAACATTATTAGGTATCATAGTGTAATCTATATATATAAATTAAAGTGTACTTTACCAATAATCAACGCAGAGCCGAACCTATTTGAGTTATCGACTTGAAATTTCGAGGATAGATTTTTTTAATAATTTCATCGGGCACCAAGAAAAGATTTTTCAAAATTTTGATTTTAAAGGGTTGAAATCGGTAAAAAAAAAGAAATTTAAAAAAGATAGCTCTACGTCGATAGCTGATAATCTATTTTTAATCGTCATGCTAATTTTATTATATTATATAATAATTATTATTTAATTTTTGTAAATAGTTAATAGTGTTAATAATGTTTGAAAGTTTTGTGTCATTTCATATTAGTACTACCACATTTTATGTATAAAGATTACCCGAACACGTTGGAAAATTATTTAAAATATCATATTTATTCAATTTAATTGTTTTAAAAATGTCATCGATTGAAGACATTTTTGTCAATGGAATGTTGACACCTCAAATAGTTGTAACAATTATCGGTGATGGTGCCTGCCTTTTCCGTTCAATTTCATTTCATTTGTTTAACACTCAAGAAAGATGCCAGGAGATCCGAAATACAACTGTTTCGTATGTGTCTAATAATTGGAATAACTTTATTACTATGTCTTACAATTCAAATGGTGACAACTTTTCCACTGCTGAGACTTATGTTCGTGAAATGGTCAATCCTACTGTCTACGGTGATGGTTATTGCGAATTGGTTGCAGCTGAAAATATTTTCCCATTTTTATTTGAAATTTATTATAATAATAATCTGTATGCTAAATTTGGTGTTGATACATTCCCAGTAAAAAGATTTCGTCTAACTGGAAATATTAATAGTGGTCATTTTGATGTTTATTTAATTATTGTAACATTGGTTACATCCTATACATATAAATTATACACAAAACACACATACTATAGAATTGCCCAATGTACAATACAAAATATACTCACTCAACACTTTTCTACCCGTACACATTATTATAGTAATTAAAATGACACACGACGGCAGTTCGGAAACATTCATCAACAGGAACGAACTCACCTACTAACAGCCATCTGAAATCTACATGTTTAGTAAAGTATTATTTTAATATTATAATTAATAAAGAACTTTAAACCAAACGTCTCTGATTGTTATTAATAAAATAATACCTCATACACAGCTCTAACCCCCACCTACGGAAAACTTATCCATAAGAAATAGAAAACCTTCTCTGGATAACTATTATTGTAACAAGGTTCCCCTGACCACGTTACACTATCTATTCCTAATATTTATAATGTTGCAGTAAATTTAATTACTACCCCAGAAGGCGATTTATCTATTTTTAATAATTTTAGTGTCACAGAAAATAGTAAGAAAAATAAAAACGAAATTAATAAAAAAAGTAAGAATAGTGCTAGGTATACAGATAAAACTCGCTATTATATATTAACCTTAAATCTTTAGTCAAACAAGACTTACGGCGTAGAATGATGTGATTAATTTGATTCGTGGTATTAATAGATCAAAATAAATATTCCTTATAATATTCATCTTAATATACTTAATATGTCATTGCTTATTTAGTAAATATACAGTAAAATATAAAACTATAAAGTGAGTAGGGCCAGATTTATATATGCAAAAAAAAACCTCAAAATATTTCTTTCTAAAAATGCTGTAATATGCTACAAAATATACAATTATTTTTAAATATCTACTTAAAATTGAATAGAAAGAATTTTATTTAAAATTATGGAGAGAATATTTTTTAACTAATTAAGTGTTAAAAAAGGTATAAAAAGGTTTTAAAATTAGAAAAAAGCATTTCTTTCATCAATGTTTTTACTATAAGTTCTTCGACATTTAACATTCTTTACCTACAATCTATAAGATAGTGGCCCATATTTCCGTAATAATTGTATTTTTATTATGTGGCTGTGAACTTGGTAATATGAAGAAGAACAACTATAGGTGCTATAAAAAATATGCTGTATGAAACAACAAATATGCATTAGATACGCATTAAATATAATATGCGTGTAACATGCGTATAATATGCGTTAGTATTAATATGCATTAATAGGTAAAAACGTCGAAGTATGCAAAATATGGAAAATTTAATTAGTGTTATTTTAATAAGAATGATCTAAATCGGTAACAATTTTCATCAGATTTCAAAAAGCTCATTATTCCAATACACATATTTGCATATAAATCCGGTCCCTAATAATAAAAAATGTAAAAGTTTCAAGTCTTTACACCCGAATAGTATATTTTTGAATTACAGCCAAATATCCGAAAAAGTTTACTCATCTTTAGTTTAAATATTTAATTTCAAATATATCTATAAGATTATAAATTAAGAAATGGGGGGCAAGTGGGCGCCGTTCTGTTGTACTAACATTACAACATATTATATGTCATGTACATGGATCGCTGTAATGGACGCGTTAAATTTTAATTCAATAATACATAATCATTGTATACGAAAAATAATTCACAGCCAAGATATTCGGTCAATGGTGCCAGCCTACAAATATTACTCGACGAAGAAGAAGTCTATAAAGCATACTGTATGATATTATTGGTGTAATTATTTATATAATTTATTTTACCATTAGTAACATACTAATATAGTAATATGGTATAGGTTGAATTATTTTTTACTGGAAACATTACATTTGGAATTTTGGAAAACTTATTATGTGTATAAAATGTAATAGTATATTTTAAAAGTTTCAAGCACCTACAAATAATATTTTAAAACTACAACAAAATAACTAAAACTGTTAGTGATCGCTTAAATTGGTAGATATCTTATAATTTTGTCCAAATTTGAACTTAAAATATTTATAAAAAAAAATGTTTATTTATTTTTAGATTTGTGGGTTTAAATATAAAATACTTATGAGGAACGTTGTATTATACATTTAAGAATTTTTGAGCAAAAAATTCTAAATTGACAAAAATTGAAAATTTCCTAGGTTGTTAAATAGCTTAAAAAGAAGCAAAATATTATTATGTTTGGAAATTAATTAAATATACATTTGGTGAAAATTTCAAGTACATATCTATATACTGTTATTTATTTTTTAATTAAGTTTAACAAAATATCAAAAGCTGATGATGAAATTATCAACTTCCTGGTGAATATAAAATGTCGAAAACATTTTTAATTCAAACGTTCTTAAAAATACTGTTCTTTTACGGCAAACTTTTTGTGTTAAGGATAGAAAAACTTATAAGAAATTTAACTTTTAAATTATACCTATAGCCTATAGACAATTTTTTTTATGAATTTCTAACTGACAAAAATTTGTATATTGCACAATTTTCATAAATGTCCTCAAAATTATAACTATATTTTTTAAAACAATACCAATAATATCATATAATATACTCGTATTTAGTAATATAGGCTGCAGACAAGTGACAGATTGTTTTGTTCAGAATCATTTTTCGTACTACTGAAACTAATGATTTTATATTACTGAAATATGAATTCAAATTCAATACATCCATTACCAATTACCACTGACCTACAAGACACCTAATGTAGGTTAAGCTGAACAGAAGCCATTTACCCACACACATAAATCAACGATTCCCAATAAAGACGCAGTTTAAGTAATAAAAGTAAAATCCACGAATGGTTAATTTGGCTGAAGTCTTATGATCATAATAAAATATACTTTAACTAATTTTGTAATGTCTTTCAAAAGTTGGTAGTGATCCCAGTAACAAGTTGTACTTGTGAGAGGTCCTTCTCTAAACTGATCCTGGTCAAATCCAAAATGAGGTCTACCACGAAGCAAGGCAGTTTGAATGGGTTTGGCGGTATTGACAGTAGAAACGAAAATGGCTGTCAATGTTGATGCTGATGCGGTTATAGACGTTTTCAAAATAGCCTTAGATTTTAAGAGACGAATGTCATAATATTTTTGAGTGAAGTTTATTTAAGTTACTATTATAAATATATATTTTTACATTTTTGTTGTATCAGTAATAACATAGGTAAGTAATGCAGTTATATCTTTATTACATACTTAAATCCTAATTATTATTAAATATAAAGTGACTATTAAAAACATTTTAGCGATTTAATTATTAATTAGCTCCCCAAGCCACCCCCTCTACTTATTGTGATGGGCTGATTTAGATTCTCCATACGCTGAACAACATTTACACTTCTGGCTCCGTATATGGTTGCCTCCCTTTTTTGTTGTTGTATAGATATTTACAGTTATATTTGTTTACGAAATTAAATATTTAAGAGAAGGATATCGATTTCAGGTAAGAAGGTACAAACGTACAATTAACTAGATACAAAAAATAAAAAATAAATTTAATTTGAACTGCCTGTAAAATTAAAGTTTTTAGCAAATAGATAAATACAATTATTAAACTCTAATAAATAAAATCATATTGTTAAATAGGTACCTACTTAAATAGTAGGTATTATAATAATTATATAGTACCTCAGCATAAAAAAGTCTATAGATACTAAAATAAATTAATTGCTTGTCACATTTGTATTGTACAATGTTTTGCCCGAATATTACGCGGCTCCTTGACCCTTGTACTTATCCACAAACCACAAATATTATGCTTACACGACCGATAGACCGCCTTGACCGAATAGTAAATATTGGCCGTTGGTACAAGTAAACAATATCAAATTTGACACAGCTGCAGTGTATGAGTTGTCGTTTCGTTTTTATGACGCTCTTGCCGATGCTTATATGCTCCGAGAAACAGCAGTTGCTATTTCGCGCCAAAAATCGTGTTCTAGTCTGAGTCAAGATTCGAGATAACACTGCGATAATCCAAAATAAGATTCGTAAACGAGTAAACTTAGGAGAACAGCTTAAGAGCTGGGCCAGACTGACTAGCCACCAAAAAATTGACGATTAAGAACGTTTAAGGATTTGTCGTCCGTTTTTAAATTGCGGCCAGAGAATCGACGGGCCAAATCGTGAGTATATAGGCATTCCATGCACAGCAGTGTTCAGCACAATAAGTTACTTATAATAGCTAAAAGCAAGTACCACAACTATATTTTTATCTTTCGAAGGGTATGTGATATTTCGTGAACTAGAATTTGATCATTGTTTTTGTTTTCAGTTGAGCAACATGCCTGACGGTGACGATTTAAAATGCTTGATCACAGAAGAGAAACTTGAAACTCCTTCAACATTTTCATTCCCATTTACTCCGTATGGCATTCAGCATGATTTCATGACCGAAATTTATTCAGCTATAGAGGGCCGGAAACTAGGAATTTTTGAAAGTCCAACCGGAACTGTAAGTCATGAATTGTTTTTCCTTACAAGTCATTCTGCGTAGTATTTCAATTTTAAAGAATTTATTTTTTATTTTTTATCTACTAGAATATGATTGTTTTTATAATATTTTATCAGGGTAAAACATTAAGTATTATATGTGGGGCTGTACGTTGGTTACTTGATCATGAGAATAGAGAGTGGAATCAACTCAAGCAGGCACTTGAGTCACTTAATATGAAAAATGAGGAAACTAATAATGATGATGATGATGATTGGATCGCTGGACAAGCTAAATTAGTGGAGCAACAACGTAAAGTATATGAAATAAATAAAATGCTTAAATCATTGGAAGAATTCAATAATAATATTGAAAAAATAAAAAAGGTAGTTATTTTGTGTTATAAGAATATATTTGATTAATTGCTAATTAGTACTTTAACACTTTTTGTAATAATTATGAATCTGTAAAGCATAATTTATTATTTACCATATATTGTAATCTATTTTATAATGGTAAATATTTCTAGAGATTCAGTGTTTAGAAATTTTAATTGTTTTAATTGTAAGCATAAAAAAAAATAACAACACTAGATCATTAAAATATATCATATTATTAGGGCTCAGATTCATATGCTTTAAAAACCTTAGAAATATGCATTTATGCTCCTAGTTTGTAGGAATATACCCTATAAAATGAAAAATATGCAAAAAAATCAATTAAAAAAGTCTTATTATCATTATTTTTTTTTTTATGTTGACATACTATAATTTTTTTAACTTTTTCTTATATGATTCATTTTTTGTAGTTATTTCAACATATTGTAATTTAAATTTGAAAAATTAATTTTTAAAATATATATAAATTAAATCAAATTAAAATAATTTACGCACACTCTGATCACGATTAAACACGACTAATGTATGATTCATGAACACCTACTCAATAACAGATTACTTCTTGTCCTGATAGGTCTCGGATAAGATAACAAAACAACTTCTTCAAATTACATGGACATTAAATATAACTATAAGTACTTAATTTTAATGAAGCTTTTTTTAAATTATGCTTTTAAAAACCGTGTATAATGTGTACGGTTTGCATACTGTATATGCAATGAAAAATTGTAAAATACAAAAATATGGAGTACATGTCAAAAAATTACAAAATATGTAACAATATGCAAAATAAAATTTTCTATTATGGATCTATTGACTATAATTTAAACTTGTGGCTTACCTAGTTATTTTTTTTAATGTTTAAAAAAACATGCAAATGCATATAAATCCATACATATGAAAGATAAATGTGGGCAATTCATTATAAAAATGTGTTTAGTATTCAATGTCATACGTCAATGATATATGCCATATCATTCCTATCAAGATAGGAAACATTATACTTAATAAATACAGGAATTGTTAAAATGTCCATTGTTTATTAGTAATTATTAATTGCATCTATATACAGCATAGTTAGCAGTACATTTTATTGGTGCTCATTTATAATTTAATGATAATAAGTACTAGTAACTACCTCCATAATTGCACTATTGGTTGTGTTTAATATATTGCTTATTGCATGCACAGCACGTATTGTATAATTTTGCATACATCATATAATATGGTATATTGTAAACATATATATTATACATACTATATATTTTATATTAAATTAATCAATACATTTTGTTTTATTATATATTCAGGAACAAGAGTTTAAAAAGAAAAAAGCCAAGTCATTGGTAATTAAAACTTTAAATCCAAAAAAAAATGATAATGAAATAGAAAATGATAAAAAAGATTTTTTTGATGAAGAAAGTGAATTTGTGCTCGAAGAGTATGATCAATTGTCATCTGTAGATGATTTTGAAGAAATATCTGATGATAAAGTCCAGTACGAAGGAGTAAAAGTAAAGTTTGACAGTTTATATTATATTTCATGAACTGTATAAGAAAATTAGTAAATATTCTATGTTATAATCATTCTAAAACTTCTTCGTAACTTGAATACCTTTGTACATATTTAACATTTTTTAAACTGTTGGTTTTATTTTAAACTGTGAAAAAATATTTAATTTTCTACAATTGTACTTTAAGGATACATTTCAGAAAACTACAAATTAAAAAAAAAAAATTTATAAATATTTTAAGTATTACATGTTTTACCTATTTACTTGGTAATTGGTAAAAAAAACCATAAATAAAAGCCTAAATATTCATTTTAAGAAATACTGTATAATAATATTATGCTATATTTTTATTTTACTATACTATAAAAGGTTATATACCTTCTAATAAATTGCATTCTATTACCAACTATTGATAAAAATGTTATCATATTGACAGGTTTGAGTAAAGTACAATTTTATTAACTTACCTATATTGTTAGGTACCTTCATAGGTTTACATTTACTACTAGTTGTATAAATTGAAAAATTAAAGATAGATTTGATATGAAAATCTTATTTAAGGCAATTTGTTAAACATTTTCTTAAACTAGAACAAAATAACTAAAATCAAATTTATAAATAACCATGTACTTTATTCATGTTTATTTAATTTTGTTTCTAAACATATGTTTTTGAACACCTCATATCCACGTTGTGTCCATCCATCTGTCTGTTAATTATTAGTAAATAGTTACATTGTAGTTTTTTATTTATTTATTGTCTCTAATTACTGTATTTAAATGGGAATAATAATACAGAATTATAATCTATTTTGCTGAATTAAAATATATTTAGAAACTGGGAATTTAGCACACTCACAGAGTGAGCTTTCCTAATTTTTTTTTTTTGATTTTATTTCTGTTTATGTGAATTAATTTATGATTAAAAGTTATTTTGAGTTTAATATACTTATTTTCCAATTTATAGATTTATTTTTGTAGTCGTACGCATTCTCAATTGTCACAGTTTGTGGCTGAACTGAAGAAAAGTCCATATTCAACATCTCGTATTGTACCATTAGCGTCTCGTCAAAATTACTGTATAAATAAAACAGTGAAAAAATTGAAAAACATTACATTAATGAATGAAAGGTAATTTTTAATACTTAAATATCTTTAAGTAATATTTAAGTTCAACTTTTATTTTAACAAATAAATTCTGCAATATATTTTTCGATTTTGCTTTCCTTAAGATTTATGTGACTTGCACACAGATGTTTGGAAATGGGAAAACCTTCTCAAAAACCTACAAAAGTGTCTTCAGTTGGTTCAGTAGTTAAGAAAAAAAAATCTGAAACTTTATGCAAATGTCCGTACAATGATAAAGATAAAATTCAATCTTTAGCCGAGGAAGTTACTACAGAATTAAGAGACATGGAAGAATTAGTTAATAGAGGAGACCAAATATCTGCTTGTCCATATTATGCTAGTAGAGAATCTGTAAAATATGCCCAGGTAATGTATATTATAATATAAGTATTGTAATTTATTATACTGTTTGTTTATTTTGTATCTATAGATTGTAACTTTGCCATATAATACATTATTACATAAAAGTACTAGAGAAGCAAGTGGCATTCGTCTTGAGGGTAATATATTCATCATTGATGAAGCTCATAATTTACTAGATACTATTGGTCATATACACAGTTCACAAATAAATGGTCAACAGGTACATCTATAGTAAATAATATTTAATGATATAATTATTTGTATTATCACTTAGATTATGGCTATTTACCATTTTTTTTTATTTTTACTGTCAAGTATATTGACTAAAAATATTTCTAGTTAGAGTCAGTTGCGCATGCTGTAATTTGTGTATGTTATTTTAACTAAATAACATATCTTCTATTATTGAATATAATGAGGAGAATTATAATTTTCATATTTTACTTTTGCTAATTTGCTATTGAATTAGAAACATAATATTTGGTTTCTCTAATCATTTTATAATTATTACATTTCAGTTGACCCATAGTTATAGCCAGCTGATACAGTACAAGAACAAATTTGAGTTAAGGTTTAGCGCTAGTAATTTGCTGCATTTGAATCAATTAATTTATGTTATTGGAAAGCTCATTAACATGCTTGGTAATCTAGCTATTAATATATTATTACACTGTTTAATAATGTTTGATAATTTTCATATATTGAAGGCGGTACTCCCGGTGTTAGTCATGCAGAAGCAAGTCGAAAAGGAGTTGACTCAAAAGTATACACCCTTGAAAATTTTGTACATCAAGCTGAAATTGATCATCTAAATATGTTTATGCTTGTTGATTTTTTTAAAAGAAGCAAGATTGGTCAAAAAGTAATTTGTTTATCTAATATGCAGTTTATGCAAAAGTTTTTAGATGATAATAATAATATAATAATATTATTTCATTTTCAGATTAGAGGCTATTCTGAAAAATATATGCCTTCTGTATCATTGCAACCATCTAAGCCTAAACTAAGCAATTTGCAGGCTTTCCTTAAACAAATTGAAACTAAAAAAAATAACAAAGGCAAAGAACTCAAAGAAGGTTAGAAAACTTAAATTCCAATTATTTAAAATAATTATGTATTTAACACAAACACAATTACAATTGAGTTACTATTTTTATATAATATATTTATAAATATTTTAAGATGAAAACAAACACCCTGAGCCACAAGTTACAGATTTAATTAGTAACAACCCTCTTACACCAGTAATGGCATTTATAGAGTCACTAACAAATTACTGCGAGGATGGTCGGATTATTTGTACTACGCAGGCACTTGTCAGCAAGGGAGTATTAAAGTTTTTGCTTCTGAATCCTGCAGTTCATTTTAAAGAAATTGTTGATAAAGCTAGGTAAATAATTCTATTATTTTTATTTTAATACTTTTATATTTGTATCTTATGTTATTAAATATCATAATTAAAAATATTCTAAACATTAGGTCAGTGATTGTATCGGGTGGAACAATGGAACCTATATCTGAATTCAAGGATCAGCTTTTCAATTTCGATGGAAATAATGCTGATAGAATTGTGCATTTTAGCTGTGGCCATGTTGTACCACCTGATAATATCTTACCATTGATTGTATGTACTGGACCAACTGGAAAACAATTAGATTTTTCTTACCAAGAGAGAACTTCAATTAAAATGGTGTGATAATATTTTGTTATTATTTTTAAGTTTAATATATTCAACTAGTTTTCTGTTAAATGACTAAACATGTTACAGCTTAACGAAATTGGTTCATTACTAGAAAACATTTGTCGAACAGTTCCTGCTGGAATTGTGTGTTTTTTCCCATCTTATGACTATGAACAGTTTGTTTATCAGCATTTAGAGAAAAACAAGGTTATTAATAGGCTTTCTGAAAGAAAAAAAGTAATTACATTTGTCTATAATGCTCTCTTTTTTTATCACACAAAATGAGGTTTAAATAAGTTTTAAATCTAAAAATGTATGAAATATAATTTAATGCTTTACAACAATTGAAGTTATTTAGAGAACCAAAGTTAACTAATCAAGTTGATGAAGTTTTGAAGAATTACTCTCATGCTATTACAACAACGTCGGCTTTAAATTCCAAAGTAACGGGTGCATTGTTATTTAGCGTTATTGGTAATTTAATTTTTAGTTTTTACACAAATTGAATAAATAATATTCATTTGATGATAGGAAGGTATGAAATTTGTATTATATTTGTAATATTATGCAGGTGGCAAGTTAAGCGAAGGTTTGAATTTTAGTGATGATTTGGGACGTTGTGTTATTGTCATCGGTCTACCATATCCAAATATTAAGTCACTTGAATTACAGCAGAAAATGAACTATCTTAATAGCCACATGGTATAAATATCATTTTAAAAGTTAATTGTTTAAAAACATGATTATTGTAACTTAGGGTCCGGGCACTGGGCAACAGCATTATGAAAATTTATGTATGAAATCTGTTAATCAATCAATTGGTCGTTCTGTACGTCATCAACAAGATTATGCTGCAGTATTGCTATTAGATCATCGTTACCAACGAGATAATGTTCGCAATGCTCTTCCTAAATGGTTGCAACCTTCTTTACAAGAACATTCCAAGTTTGGATCTGCATTTGCTCAGTTAAATAAGGTATTCTTTTGTAGAAATAAACTTTTATGAAAACCAATCATTTGTGCCTTTTGGTAATAGTTGTATTTCTATGAGTAGAAATATTTTCTAATGTGTGAAGTGCTTGTTGGTTACATGCACTACAATCTTCAAAATTAATACAAATCAAAGCAAATAAGAATATATATAAAATATTTTAGAATTATTATTTTGTACACATATTAAGTAAATAAGTTAATAAGTTATAACAGGGACGGATTGGGCTGGCAGCTACCGAGAAAATCTCGAGGGGGGTCGCTTAAAATATGGGCCGACCATGAATGTTTGGAAGTAGTTTTATTTTTTTCGTGTTTTTTATGTTCATGAAAAATGAATACAAATATTAGCAGGAAATTAAGTATGTTAAGTACTTATCTAACAATATAATAAATAATAATAATATTATTATTTATTATATATTAACATGTTACATTTTATTAAAACTATTATTTATTTTTAGTTTTTTACGGGAAAAAAGAAATTACAACAATGATTATTTTATATAACGAATACATTTCAAGGTTTTTCAAAAAGGAGAAGATTCAAGATTTGATTAATATTTAATTAAGATTGCCCTCACCTACCTATTGTTTACTCTTCATAGTTTTTAAAAATTAACCGTTTAATTGTTATGATTAATGTTATGAACTATGTGTAATATTTTTGTGAAATATGAGTGTGCATTTTTAAATTGAATTAATCGTGTAAGAATGTCACTTGAATAGTTTTCAACTTCAACATTTGTGAAAAATTAAAAATGTATAAAAATTAAAAAATGTATTTCTCTGAAATTTTATTCAACCAGTTACTAAGTTTTATGTTAAATTTACAAAAATTGGTTTAAATGTTTGATTGTTTGTATTACCTACTTTAGTATAATATAATATAATTTTTACTTTTTTATGAAAATATGTTGTTTTATACTTTGATTTAATTTTTGTAGCACTGATATTTGTGGGACATCAGCTCGAGTGCAAATTTTTTCTCCCCCTCCAAATAAAATAGTTGGTTTTCATTTTTTACTTTAACAGTTATGCGGTATAGGATAATGTCGATGTTTTCTTTTTTGTAACTTATATTATAATCGCGTCGGTTGTCTGTGTGCATTATTTTGCAGTGAATTATTAGTTGATGATGTGACCTTGATGATACGTAGAAAACAATACGAACATCGGTATGTGTGTATGCCTATTGTCCTAACAACTTATTATATTGTGCCTTCTTCGAGGAAACGACACTGTTGGAAGACATTAACGTTTTTAAATTCCTCCGATACAGTTGAGTGACAGGACCTTGTTGTATTGTCATATAGATTCTGAGTGGGATTGTGAAAGATAAACTTAGGTATACAGCCACACCAAGGCGTGTTGTGTTTGTTTTTCGAAAAAATTGGTCGGGAATCGATAAATTAGAAATTACGTGTATAGCAGAAGCACACATATATCAGTCTTACACTTATATGAAGAATACTTTTATTTTGTATTCGAATATTTTTATTTTTTTCAAAAAGTATTTAAAATAATATTCGAATACTTAACAAGACTACACGTACTACACGCCCATTAATTGGTAATAAATAAGTTGATGACCTCAGAGATCGGTCTTGTGAGCTGAAGTTTCCATTATTATTTTACGAAAAAATCACAACAACTGAAAAAATGGGTTTCCAACAAACCTCTTCTTCTAGTTTAATTAATAAGTACTACAATAGATACATTTGTAATTAGTTAGGTATCTTAGCGGTATTCCATATTTATTCGGATGTTTAGTATGTAAAATTAAAATATAATAAATAATGGGTACTAATAAATTAACAAAATTAAAATTGAAAAAGATTGGAATTAGGTACCGCTCTGCTGTACAATAGGTGTTGAGTGGGTCACTGTAATAATAGATATTGTGTTCAATTCAAGTTCAATGATAAATCAATTCATACGAAAAAATATTTGGAATGACTGTATGATAACGGAGACTGTCAGCCTACTAAGCATATTTTATGATATTAATGTTATTGTTGTATGTAATTTATTTTTCCATAAAATATTAGTAATACAGTAGGTATCTAGGTAGGTTGAATTAATTTTTTGTAAAAACATTGTGTTTGAGAATTTCATTGTGTGCATAAAATATAATAATCTACTTATATCGGCACTTTAGTTTTAATCACCCACGAATAATATTTTTAAATTACAATAAAATAACCTAAATTGTTATATTTCTTTATTTTTTTTATCTATTTTGTCCAAATTTAAACTTGGAACATTGTTAACTTAAAAATAAGTTAACTATAAAACGACTCTAGTCAATAGTTATATTAAAATTGGATGTTGAAGTTAAGAATCTGTTTCATTCTCTACATATACAAGTGCTGGAGAATAATATCGGATGCAAATATTAAAATCACGCTATTACCTTCCTCCAGGTGTTCGGAGTGGTCTCGAGGTCGTGCGTATTTCAGAATTTGATCAAATACACCGTACAATATTTATTTATTTAAATTAGTTTTTAGTTGGTTACCGTTACAGCACTGACAATATAATTGTATATTCAATGAGTATGTAATGTAATATCTACAGTAAATATATTATTATATTGTATATTAAATGTCTTACCTGACTCGCAGCTGCGCATGGACTATGTTGTAGCAGTGTTAAGGTTTAGGAGACACAAATTAATTAGGTACCTTATACTCAAAATCCGCGAATCGAAATATTTAAAACACTGATTACTGCACTGACTAAAATTGGTCCAGTAGTCGCTCGCAGGATTCGGTATTGTCGCTGTGTTGAGTGGTGGGCATACACTGATTTTAAGGGACATCACGGATATTCTGACCAGAGAGTGGTAGGCGAATAAAATTTATCAAAAGGTTTTTGCGCATCCGGGAACTAGATTTCTCATCGGCGCAAAGACCTTTTTCGACCATACCTTTTCTCTGGCGGCATAATAAGAAAGCGTTTTACCACTGCAAGTACGTGCCGATTTTTTAATTCGTGATTGTATAATATAGATCGTCCTTTTCAGTCTGTGACAATGGTTTTATTGGGGTTGTTCGATTTCTACGTGCGATAGTCTGGCCGTTATTTATTAGCCTGTTACGTTTTAGTTTACTTGTTATTATGATTGTGTGTGCATATCAATACAATAGGTAGAAAAAAAAATCGCTTGTATATGAATTTTGTATTCATTATTCCAATATAGGTAAACTACTAACGAGTACCTTTGTGACCAAGCAAAAATACCTAATTTAATCGACAGTTAAAGAAAAAAGTGGTATACGTTGTTAGTCAGCTGTACAAAGTTTTCGAGTACGTCATTGTGATGGGTGTATTAATTTTGAGTTCAATGATAAATCATTGTATATGAAAAATGATTCTGAGCGGAGACGTGTGTGGGCCAGCATATTTGAATTAATAATCAAATTTTAAAATTTAAAAAAAAATTTGGAAAAATAGAAAAATAGTTAGGAGACATGACTATAAATTTCGTTATTCTCCGGTAGAGTTTTTTTTGTTATAGGTAGAAATACTTATGAGTAATGTAACCTTCTATATACTATTTTCAAATATTTCCTATGAAAAGAACTTTTTTTTTATTGATTTTTAGCTAAAAAATAATTTGAAACTTCAGCCAACCATAAAAATTAACTGTGGATTTACGCTCAACTTTTTTTGAGGGGAGTTTTTAGCCTTCAATAAAAAAATATTTTTCCCTAAGCTAATGGAATCGTAAATTTTTACACAATTATAAAAAGAAGATGTATAAATTCTTACATGGTAAAGAAGTAGGTATGTACTTATATACTTATATGCATGTAAGTTCCTAAACTGCAGAAAAAAATATTATCATGTAATACATATACATATAATTTTATATTTCATTTTCATACATTTTATAGTTTAATAATCAATATAGCCATATAGGTGCCTAATATAGTTCCATATTTTATATAATATTGTAAGTTAAAAATATCATAATACATCATTAATTCATTTTCATACATTTTAACATACCTACCAAGTATAAAATAATTGTAAAATTAAAATTATATTTTATTTATGGTTTATATATACATTTTAACATTTGTGATGTATTACTTAATTATTATTTATTCATGATTTATTTCGCCGCTTTTGACGAGTCTAGTGTTTGATGATTTAAATATTTCTTGGATCATAATATACATATAATATAATACTCGTGTATAGCGTTTACTGTAAGCCGATGGTCATTAGGTGTACTCTTAGCTTTGTATAAACGACCAACGAGTTTTCTGTTGTAAATCTATATTTTAACGATTTTTTTAGTCCTTAAATAGTTAAATCTGTAACATTTGATTTATACACTCGACAATACGGAAAGAGAAGAAACAATAATTTTTTTGTATATTACAAATTGTTTTTATTAATTGAACAAAATAAACGTCACACACAGTAGTGGGTCAGTCATAAACATTGTATAAATACATTATACATTATTACTCGATGGTTCAAGTACAAAAAGGTGAACATAAAATGTTGAGATAAAATGGACGGGGAAGTCCAGTCCACACGGAGCGAAACCTAACCCAATCGGAGCAAATTTCCACTCGGTGGAAAGGAGTCAAGCGAGTTTTCCGGGACTTGTGTTGTCGCCGATGTGAAACCGTCCGCAGCTCCCAACAGTCTAATCCCCCTGGAGCCGATAATTTACCATAAAATGATGCGATATTACTACGAAATGTTGTATAAATAAATTATGCAATAATAAATTAATAAATTATTTTTATCGATATTTTAAATTCGATTAGACAAGTATATTAGACGTATGAATTCCGGGTAGTGACACAGAGGAGGTTATCATGCCATTAAAAATAATCGTCAGAATATTACCAACGATGGTCCCTTTGGACAGAAGACGGAAAGTGCCTATAGGAAAGATACGGGAAAGAGCACGGAAAATGCACGACGGTGTCACGGTAAGTCACCCACGCACGTTCTCAGCCCACCCACGACGCGACGGGTTCGCGGGTGCGCTCGGCCGTCGTTGACGCGCTCGACCCTCTGGCGACTCGGCGAGCGGCCGGCCGCAGTCGCTGTGCCGTGTAGAGCGACGGATGACGACGATGACCGACGGCTTAACAGAGATAACCGGGTTGGGCAACGATTCCGCCCCGACAGTAACGTCCTCTAGAATTCGAGCGAAATCGATGTGTGTTCTCAGATTTCGGAGACCTACTCGACGACGTGAACACTGCACGACAAACCGCCGCCGTCGGGCTCGTCGACGTTTGCGTTCCGGTCGTCTTAGGGCGCCGCGCGACCAATGGGGCTCCTCCTCGGAGCGTTCGTCGTCCTCGCTGCAGGCGTATCTCTCTGCGGAACTGCGACCGGTTCGTCGCCGGGAATCGGAACGGTACCAATAATGTGTTCAGACCTGCTCGTACTATATCCATACCGGACGCGAGCAGTGCGTGTTTAAACACGGAAACCGTAACAACACGGAGTGCGCTTTTTCATTACTCGTGGCGGTGCGAGGTAGTAGCAGGTTAAGATTGGCACTTTCGTCTTCAAGACGGGCCACATCACCGCGAGATGTTGTTACGACGCTCGCACGAACTATATATATATTGTATCTTGTATAACCAACCTCAGTTCACGGACGCTCGTCCATGTTCTTGCTCCGCACGGTTCTTGTCTATATATATATATATTGGTGTAAGGCAGTAGTTCTCAACCTTTTTTGATTCATGTCACCTTTAGGCACTAGAATCAAACATCGCGTCACCCTAACTGTGTAATGTAAAAAAAAAAAAAAACCTAACATCAAAATAATAAATAATCTTAGCTGTATATATTAAAATTATTCTTTTATTAAAAAAAAAATACAGT